TGGTCGATCCTCGTTTTGTTTTTTTGTGGGTTGGAATTTTGGACCTTGATTGCAAAAGAAAACTCGCGTCGCGGTACGCAGTACGTTTTTCTGCGATTTTTAAGACTTTTTCGACGCGTGAGATCGACGGGTGCGATCTCCTTTGTCTCGCACGATGGCTTCCTCACGTTCTGGTCTTGCTTCCTTCCTCTCGTGCTGGCCGGGACCTACAGACCCAGTAACGCGCGCGAACTTGTTCCCTCCCCTTCTTTTTGCGCGAGGAGGAAAAGACGGATGCGCGCGTAAGTAAGTGGCGCCGCCACTTCGGGGCGGTCCCACAAGTCGCACACACACACATGCACTCTCTCTCTCTTTCCGTGACGACGGAACAATCCATTTTAGCTTTGGTCGTCAAACTTTAATAGAGATACTTTATGTTAATGATGCTATTGAAGATCCTTTCTGAAGGTTCAGTCAAGTGTCTCATGAGGAACTAACAATGTTTTTGGTGAAACACCGGCGATTGCTAAACTTTCTCTTGAGCTTAGAACTACCTATAATCTACGTAATTTACGATGAAACAGAAAGCCGATGAGCTGTTCGTAATTTGCTTATCTGGGACATTGTTGAGATATTATATCTTGCAAATAAGGGAATGTATACCGTTGGTATAGATTGCCAAGTAAACAAGGGATACCACTGTTGGTTATGGGCCGGTGGATATACGTTTCTACTAATTATACCAGATGCAAACTTACCTTCGTCCTATCGACGACGGTGTAGCCGACGGCCGAATATCGCTTTGTATCTCTCTCTATCTTTGAAGAAAAGAGCGCGGGCTGCAAAGGGTCCGGGCACGCCGTCGCCAGCCGGGCGATAAGGGCAGGTAGACTGCATCTGTACTGCATGTGCGCCGCGTTGATGCTGGCCGGCTAGATTTAATAAGGTATTGCTTATTTATATATGCTTATTATATATATGTACTCTCGTTCTTATCTTTCGTTTGTTGCCTCGTTTCATTGATCGCTTACACCGCGGAAATTCGTAAACACGTCCACCATGTGAACAAAGGCCACCGCGCTTAGAAAAAATAAAAATTCTGTTTAGGGTTAAAAATCGACCGAACAATGTGTGATGCAGATCATCGAAATATGTAAGATTGAGCAGCGGCAAAGAGGCGCCTTGCCCGTTCGGGCATTCCTTTTCTTTCAGCACTTCTCTACGTATCTCGATCTCGAGCCATGACCGCGGGTGTATGCAAGGTCTGCGCATCGTCGCCGGACGCAGCTATACTGCTCCGAGAGATGATTCCCAGTTTGACTCCACGGGAAGCCAAAAGTTTCCAAGTACTGTCGGGTCAAATAGAGACGGATAGGGCCAGCATAGAGGCTCCCCTAGGCTAACAGGCTGGCGAGAGAGAGCGCGAACGAGAGAGAATGCAGAAGGCAGAACCGGGCAAGGGGAGCTAACGAAAGGAAAGCAGGCGGGACCGAAGCGCGCGCGTCGCGACGGGCCCCAATGAGGACTACGACCCCTCGAAGATTAGGCGGAGAGGGGAAAACAGGGGCGTGAACCGGATGCTGCGCGGATGAGGCGTCGACAGACAATAAAGATTCTCGCTTCGAACCAGCAAGTTGCTCATCAGCCGCTGCTAATCGCGTGAAAGTTTAAAGTGTGTACTTGAGACTCAAATAAAGAACTTTAATCGCATATAATAGTCTGATCCGATTATTATTATTATTATTCCTCATACTCACCCTTTACACACGTTGCTCCGAGCTTTCACTTTACATGCATGTGTGGCCTAAGAAATCGCTATAGTGTTTGCAAAGTTGGAGGTCTAAATTGTAATTTCTTAGTTTGCCTCTATAGGGAACGAACAGTTTTGAAAATTGAACAATTTTATATAAGTTTGTGAAATATATAAGCATTAGTTAGTTAGTTCCCATTGTACTACAATATTATATACTTTTACATGTACGACGCGCAATTAAACCGAGGAAAACATTATTAATTTAATAAGTCATAGAGTTCAGTATGCGTAATATATTATTTTCTTATCACTCCTAATAACACAGGTCTGCAAAATAAAGGATTTTGATTATTCTTGGTCAATTTCGGATCATTTTTTGCGTAAAATTTAAATCCGAAATCGAAATAATTCCATCACGTGCGGTTTTTTGGATATTCTAACATATAGAGGCAAAAAAGCAATTTTTTGATATATCTGAGATTCTGTAACAAGATGAAAAAAAAATTGTTTTCTGTGAACAGAGAAAATCACCCAAAAGGTCTACTCTTACCTTTCAAAATCCATTTGTCACATTTGGAATATATAGTACAATTTTTAAGTAAGAAGAAATGAGTCGGCCACAAAAGAATTTGGCACAAATTGTTTCATCCTGGGATAATATTATTAAATATCTTATTCAAAGTTAATTTTGGCGAACAATTTAAGTAACACTTTCATGTATTTAGCTTTCAAATTTTAAATTGATAATAAAAAAACACTACTGAAAAAGTAATTAAATAAAATCAAATTCACATGTTTAGCAAATTTGTTTTTTCTTCAGTGTAGGTTAAAAAACAACATTCACAACAAGACAGCGCATATTTAACAAATCTAATGCATCTACACTCAGATCATTCTGTGATCCAAACAGCCAACATTTACCATTTCATTTGATATTTGCCTGCGGGTTGGTTCATAATATGCATCATTAAAATAAATCAGTTTTCACATCACGCCATTAAAAATTGTTTATAAATATTAATATAATTTGAAAATTCAAAACTATTTTTAAACGAATAACTCTGTATAAAATTGATTTTTTAGCAAATATTTGAAGCAATAATAACAAATGGAACACTTATAAATGAAATAAAATTATTTGCCTAGCGGAGGTAATTCATTAAACGACGAGCATGGAAAAAAATTGAAAGATGAATTATCTGATGTATGCAGCTCTCCTCCAAAGAAATAGTTGCGTTAGTGTCATCAATTTTAACATTTGTTAAAGTTAATCTTAGCCGATGTTTTGAAGGTTTTTACTAATTAATATTATTTTTCAAATTAAGTCATATTTCCACTAAAAACAAGCTAAAAGTAATTGTAAAAAATTAAAAATAGTTCGACATTTTCAAAAGTGGGTTTCTTAAGATATTATTTATTAACACATTATATAATGATTTATCACAATACTTCATCTGTTTCGCTTATTATGTTTTTTCATCATTTGTTTATTGTGTTGCTGCGAACATTAGCTTTGTTGAAAAAATGAGACAAAAGACTGAGATCATTCAAACATAGTCCCGTGCAGGCGTAATAAGTTTCCCAAATGTGTTGTTATTCATCAAAATAAAGTAAATCAAACGTATTGATTTTTCATTAAACAAAGAGTCTACTTTTATTTATTGTCCTTGAAATCGGAACTCACGTAAGATATTTTTATTGATTTCATAATTATTATATTTCAAATTCAACAATATTTCATCTCAAACACTAATATTATAAGCAACAACGAAGATTAAAGATTTGAGAGTGACAATTATGATGCCGTAATTGTCTCGTATGGTGCTTGAAGTGGTGTGATACTTCAATTGACGTATGGACATAATTCTTTTTCGAAATTATTCACTGAGAGAGGAAAAGTATGTTCTAACTGTCGGGTAACACATCAAACTACGTGACTTTCATAATCATCGTTTTAAAAAAATAAAGTTGTCATTTGTTATGAATACATCGATAAATGTTAGTGTTCGTTTGTAAATTAAACGAGTAATAATTAGTTTTGCAGATTAGGAATTGTTTCTTTTTTACCGATGCGATAAAAATCGAGACATTTATACTTATTGTACAGAGAATAAAGCATTTATAATATAGCTTTGGTCATTTTGTGTTCTATAGAATCAGGTTTAATCAAATTACACACATATCTTTTAATTAAAATTGACTAAATTGTTTGAATGATAGGAATTTTGATTCGATTGCAAAATGATTGGGATTTCATTAGGTTCATTAGGTTTCAAAATTGTAGTAACTTCATCAGATCTGCATAATTGAACAAAGTACACAGTATAAATTCATTAAAAAAACAGTATTCATCGTGACTATCGGGATGTTACTAAATTAATCTTTACTTTTGATCATCTGTTTATACATAAGGAAACCTTGCTTTGTCATTTTCCAGCTGTGAAGCTTACCATACCTGTCATCGTAAATTTATGTACAAAATTCACGATTGTTTGGCATTAAGATGTCAATGCAAGATGATCTTCAACTGATAGAGATTGTTAAAAATGCTATTAAATTAAAATTTCAGCAAGAACAAAACGAGCTTAGGCAATCAACGCTTGACCAGATCGAGAATACAATGGGAATTACAGGGAGTCAATGAAGTACACAAAGGGCGATCTTACCTAAATTGTACGTACACATCAGAAACCAGGATTGAAGCTAAAAATCAAGTTCCTAGGTACCTACAAAATAACGAATGTCAAAGATCACGATCGCTATAACGTTGAAAAGGTTGAAGGAGTGAAAAGCACATCATCAAAATCAGCAGATCATTAGAAGCCATAGAGACTCTGCTACGCAGATCTAGATGACGATGAGTTAGACAATTACACTGACTCTAGCGATGAAGAAAGAAAACTCAGCAATAAATACTTGCAGATCGGCACCGACTGTAGATAGTCAGTAATATCAAAGAAAGACTGAGTGTGGGAGTAAGAGAGTGTAGAAGGCGACTTTGTGTGTGATAGAACGGATTAGTATTTACTTAAGAGAGTTGACTTGTCTTTGAATGAGCGGAGGAATTTTAGAAAACTGCCATGCGAAAGAATGGAAAGCACGAAAGAGTGATAACTTGGCTTCCTATACCCTGAAAAGAGATAATAGGCTTCAAGCGGCTCTTAGGTCTAAATATCTGAAACAAATTTGTAAATACAATGTAAGTAATGGCTTTTGAAAAAAATCGAAAAATTTCGAAATTTCAGAAGCAATTTGACTGTATTAATTAGAAAGAACATCAGTGGAACATTTGACTTATCTGCTTTATGACATTCTGATACAATGTAATACAATCTAAGACATGGCTATGACGATTACTTACATTGCATCCCATCAGCATGACGTCGATGCGTATATTACGAACGTCGTTACTATTCTGAGTCGAGTATTATGGGTAAGCTTACGCAAGTAGTAGTTTTTTAATACATCTGATTTAGTACATCAAGTTAACATATTTGAATGTTTCTATCGATAAATTTACAGAGCGCAAGATATATATCTATGTTTCGTAGAACAATTTTTATTATCTAATCACCAGTCTTCCGTCTCACGCTATTATTATTATTAATCAAAGGACTATAAGTCCTATATACATAAATACTCTTTTAATTATAAAGAAATCTAGACATTTCAACTTTTCACATCCAGTAATTTTAACTTTACTTGAGTATGCATGATACTTGAATACGATTATTCATTTGACAGTCCATAACGATAAATATGCTCATAAATCATAATCAACACATCCCAATAAAAGCAGATAGATCTTTAACGGATAAATTCATTGGTATAAATATATTAAAGTATTTACGTGCAAATAATTGATTGATATGACATATACGGATAACTAAAACATCGTATACTTCACGTGAATAGATGACGAAGTATTTTGTTATAATAGTTTCTTTATTTAAGAATAAAGGTTTCATAATAAAGCGTTTAAACAGAATTCAATAGAACGTAAACATAACGGACGAAGTGAAATGACGTATGTTCAAATAATATTTCTCGTTAATATGCAAAATTTAATTTAGTACTAAGTTTAATGTTTCAAAACGGTGAATACTAAATTGTAATTTATTCAAAAACATATTACACTAATTTACATATAATTTCGAAAGAAAGGGTTTTTAATAGTGTATATTTTTTAGTGACAGTGCCTTTGTACAAATTAACCTATTGGAGAATTAAATCTTCAATAAAATTCTTCAATAAAACTCATATTTCATAGACGCTTTGATTTTCAATTTACTTTCTTTGAAAATTTAATTCAATTCAATTTTATGAATATTCACTTTTATTTCGCGTGGTAGCTTCTTAATTCACTACTACATTAAATATAATCTTGTTTATCAAAAATTGAGGTATTATTGAACACAACACTTTACTTGGATTACACATTAATTCTTACAGCTCGGTTGTATATTTAATTTTTTAAACAATATTGAGAGTATTAAAGTTAAATAATTATTATATTTAATAAAAAAAATTATCATTTCAGACAAGCGAAACATGTACTATGAGCATTGTATAAAATTAGTTATAATAAATTTAATAATTCATCTTTTTCTGTAAAAGTTCTTGTCACTTTTACAACTAAAACAACTTCCATTTCTAGTATCTAACTTAATTTTACTCGTTTCAACTAATTGTTACAAATAATGAAAAGAACTTCGTTAATATCGGTATATGAACATGAAATTCATTATATAAAACTTATTGTACATAATTCAATAAGTTTGAATTAATTCTATTAATGATACATTCAACAAAGAGAGAATACGTTACCACCCTTTCCTATTAACATCTTCATTGACTATTTTGTGATTTACAAAATAATCGTTAATGAGATTTTGTTTTAAGAAAATTTATTGAATGGTTTTAACGTATATTCAGTAATCCATCACTATAATTTTAAAAGCTAAACAATTTTTATCAGCTAATAAACATTTGCTAAACAAAGCTAAACCACACTCATGCAGTTGAACTACCCTGTGCGGAGTTTTTTGGTTTAACGGTCATTTTCGACGTGTATGTCTCTACATTTGATTTATCACATAATATTTCATCACTAGACGGCGTTACATCACTCAATAAATCAATAAACTGTTCTAATGGACAAAGTTCATCGCATCCTGGAATTTGTAGCACTTCTATTGTGGACGGTATTCCAAGGTAATAAATTATCTGTTCAAATTTCACAAAATTTATACAAGATAATCCAATATTTTTATCATAATTATAATGTCTATAAGAATTTAATACCTTCATATAATACTGATTGTCGATTTCATGAAGTTCTACAATAACAGCACTGCCATATTGAGGCACATGGTACTTGAAAACTCCTAAAGTCTGCAATAAGGCGACTACATTTGTTTCATGGCCACTGTAAAGGTTGATTTTACGACCGCCAATGGAACCGTCCTTCACAGCTTGTATATCATTTAAGATACTGTATAACAATTTACCTAATCATCAAAACAAAAATTAATGTATAATATTTCATTTTGTCATTAATTTTAATGAGATAATAAAGAGATTTACTGACCGCCATTAAGACGTCGCATTTTTTGTGTGTAACTAAAAATTTCGTATTCCAAAAGTATGCCGTCTAATAGTTTTCCGTGAGGAAAAAGACCCTCAGTCCAATTAGGTAGTCGCAGTTGCATTGATTGTTCGGCAGTGAGAATGTGATAAAGCAGATAAAAGTCGTATGTTCCACTGATGTTCTTTCCAGTTAATATAGTCAAATTACTCATGAAATCTCGAAACTTTTCGACTTTTTCGATGACTTCCGGCAAATTTTCCGCCTTTTTACGCTCTTCAATATACCTGAAGATTAGGAATGTTCAATTTATCGTATATTAATATATTTTATTTTAGAAGGACAGGCGTTAATTTTTGGAAAAGGAATAAGAATAAATTTGCAAAAATTTGCATGATAGCATTTTAGCCAAATAAAATTGCACATTTGCTGTTTAGACAGTATATTCTACAGTTTTGTTAGAAAATTTATTTCCCGAATGCTTATATAATAATGATTCTACAATGGATATTGTAAAAGTGGAAATTAGACCTTCTTCATTGATATATCGCATTACTTAATAAATGAGTGCTCCTGTGCCTAATACGTTTTTAGCGTAATCATGGAATATACATATTCAGTCAAAATCAAAATGAAGACGTAAATGAACTTTAGCACGTGTTTTTAGACTAATAATAGGCTGAATCTTCATATTAATACTATATCGCCATTTCTTTTTTTCAATAGATAATGATGATATAAATTTATACAAAATAAAAAATTTTATTTAAAAAAATATGTCTAGTACAAACAAAAATTTCATTGATAGCCAAATTTGATTCAATTTTTAGTCTTTCTTTCAAAATATTGTAAAAAAAGCTATTTTAAAAGTATAATAAATAAAAATATTCAATACTTACTCGGGGCATTCTTCTGGTATGAGTAACCAATCTTCTTCAGAAGGCCAGTATGTTGTGGGGATAGGTTGCCAATTGAGTTGGTTATTCCACTGCTGAAAAGTTCCAGGTGGATAAAGAGCCGAGAGGACAATTTGCAAGCACATTTTTGTCCTTTTATAGTCGGTACTTTGAGCTAAAATTGACTCAGGAACGTAGACGCCGCCTAAAAAATCGAAATACCTTCTACGTAGGACCTCACCGAGCTCGTATTCTCGAAGTTTTCCTTTCTGAATATAAATAAATTGAAAAATATGTTTATCGTTGACAATTATGATAGTAAAAATAGAGAAATTAATGTATTTGATAAAATGGAAATGAGAAATCTTAGAAATACTGAATTAATAAACAAATGGAATTTATTATAATGTCAAGTTTACTCTGTCTACTCGAATAAGGTTTTTTTGAAGGATATGAAAATAAATGAATAAATGCACGATTAACATTTAACTTACATTAGTTAATCCACCTAGACCCACAGGATAAAAAGGGTCATTGTAATAAGGGTCATTAGGATACATTTCGGGTGGATCAGGTGCACGGTCACCATGTCGAAATATCTAAAAATGGAAAGAAAATTAATTAAAAAAAGCTATTCGGTTAGAAATTAGTAAAAAAAATATGAAAACTCACTACTGTTACGAATTTTAAGCTGGTTTGATTTGCAGCATTCGCCGTTAAAATAACGCTTAGTATGAGAACCATCCATGACATGAAGATGTTTAATTTCTGACTTGTGCCTACTGGTGTCATTTCTAAATCAAAAATTTAAATGAATAAACTTCATAATTTTGTTGAACATTGAAAACACAATTGTGAAGAGATTTCAAATATTGAATGCGTTTCTTCGGCCAAATTGAAAAATGTAAGTATAATGAGAAAAAGGAAATCTTGATTTACAGAATAGATAAAGTTAATGGTCATGAGTTATGGTAGGGAAATGGTGAATGCATTTCCCGGCTTAATAGTGCTTCAATCTGTAGACGAAGCTAACTTCATTGTACCTTCTTTTATTTACTGTTACTTAAGGATTTCTTCACAACTTAACTAAATTGGATGTCTATTTTTATGATAATAATTTATAATGACTCGAACGGAAATCCAATTACGACGATAATTATTAAATTTTTAAACAAATATCTACCTATATACACAAGCACGCTTACACACACACACACACATATTCTACATAGCAACGATTGTGGTAAATAGATTATTATTTTTGTATATAATAATCATTAATTTTTCCGAGGTATACCTGTATTTGTAATTATTTTCAAATTTAATCATTTACGCAATATACAACTATATCTATTTTTTTTTGTATTTACAACTATATCTATAGTTATTACCAAAATTAATATAAAAATTAATATTTCTCTTGACAAATTGAGAAGTCATAAGTAATAAAGTAAATGAAGTAAAGCAGCAACAAGTGAGTGAAATACTTAACTCCACTAGAATTGTGCTGAGATACTTTCAGGCATAGCAAGCGTCCAGATAGCACTTACTTGTATAAAGAGCTTGTGTACTGGTACTCAACGAAGATTTTCTATATTCTCACTTCCGACATCATCCCTTACAGAGAGACACGCACGGACTGGCTTTTCAGTTTCAAAAATATAACCAAGCTGTCACTTTCTCGTCCTTCCACTCTCCCTTTCCCTCTCTCTTTCTCCCTCTATCTATCTTTCTTTACGCTTATACTCCTCCCTCTCCGATATTCTGTTCTTTTACTCACTCTGTTGCTTTCCATTTCTATGATCGCATGTCAAACGTAGTTGCCAAATGCTACATTGGCAGTCTCTCGTGCTACTTTTCCAAATACCCTCACAAATCCATTCTCAAACGATTATTTCCATTCGCGTAGAATTTTTGGCGTGCTTTCGAACACATACCGATTTAACATGGAAATTTCACCAATTGTTAATTTAATGGGTGTTTTTCAATTGAATATGAAAAATAAAATAGTATTTCAAAAAATAATGTTCTAGATTGACATAAAACATGATGTAATTATACGAAGAAAATTTTTTGTGGAAACATGTATCATTGTACGTGATCAATTTTTTTACCACGCGATTCTTTCGTTCGAGAACAATTTGAACAATATTATACATGAATATATTTTTGCTAAATATGAAATAACTTTTTACGTGATATATTCTTTTCTACATCATGTTTTTATGAACAAGAGCCGACTTATATTTCACACGTATATATTATTTTTTCATCAAACTATAGAGATTTTCCAACGATAATGTTGCTTAAAAATTGTCTATCTATAGAGAGTAAAAGCAATAAATTAAATTTGAATATCGTTCAAATATTGCGTATCGTCAATTCACAACAAACTTATATTGTCATATGGGCTGTTTCATGTTAACAGCTCATTTAATCGTTTAATTTGTGAACAAAATAGTAATATGTAAAAAAAATATTTAATTGTACAGAATATTTCTGATATTTTCATATAGAAGTTTAATAAATCTTCAGAAAAATACCGTATGAAATTATGATTTCACATGTAGAATATTATTTCACTTATTTGGATGACAAAATAATATGCATATGTTGAACATGAACTATGGTCGTATAGAATTTAAATCGGCTCACGATCATAAAAAATATGATTGTGTATACTAAAATTGGTTCGTTTATAATATTTATTCAAATTATTTCTGTATAAAACAATCGCGTAGAAAAAAATTGATCATGTAGGTACATTGAGACATGTTTAATATTTAATAATTCAATGTAAAACAATTTTTTAAGTATAATTATGTCATTAGAATGTTTCATGCCAATGTAGAACATCGTAGAATCGGTATATGTGTAAAGTTCATCCTGCCGAATTTCGGAACACGCGATATCAAGTATTTTAAAAATTGATACACAAAACACTTGATTTACGCGTGAAAACGAAAAAGCGGCTAGAAAATAGATTTACCGTACTGCAGTCTTAAATTCGTATATTGTTCAATCAGACATGCCGAAAGCTTGAGAAAATATTGAATTTAGATAGCATGCACGAGTTCACTCATTATAATATATTCAGTCTTTATCAAAGACCATAACGCAAACTTTATAGTTTCACGTGAAATTTGATAAAACCAATGTTCAGATAAGCTTTGTCGACTGACTACTTTAATAAAAGTTACGTCAATTAAGAAAAACACATTTCCATAAGAAGTCATTGACAATCTTTCGTTAATATTCAAATCAAGTTATTGTAAAATCACACACTACAAAAATTGTTTTTAAAATAAAAGGATTCTTTTTTTAAATAAATGTGCCGCGAATTTAACACAATTGCTTTCAGCTAATGATGTGAAAACGAATAAGTTTTACGATTTGTATTAAGTAGAGATCGATACGTAAATACCGACTCTCATAATTATAAATAATCATGAGAAAAGCGAAAAAGAAAAACAATCCTTGAATTTGCTGCGTATTTAAAATAAAAAGTTTTTTTGCAGTGTGTATGGTTATGTTGATATTGAACGAACAATACAAAGCTATGAAAACGTGAAAACAACGTGAAGTGTAGAAAGTTGGACTTTACCTGGTGATCAGGCAATAACTGATGAACAAGAGCGACGAGAGCGCCTTTTAAGCTCTTTTTTCTCAATAATCGTAGTAGTCCCCTACCCGTATTGTAGCCGTGCCAATGTCAGCATTATTATTCTTTTATGCGTTCATTGCATTCTAAATAATTTTGTTTTCCCTCCCGCGTGTCAGGAATCCAGACACTCTGCGCATCACGACGAGAGCTTTGATAAGAAAGAAATTCAAATTGTCATGATCCGTTTGAATGATACTCAGTCATTGCATGTGAATTGAAAATTTTGTATCGTAAAATATATTTTCTCGATTAAAAGTGAGAAAGAGAGTGAGGAGAGAGAGAGAGAGAGAGAGAGAGAGAGAGAGAGAGAGAGAGAGAGAGGGAGAGAGAGAAACAGGCAGGCAGAGAAAAAGAGGGGGGTAGAATTTTCGTGAAATGTGTGCTAATATTTACCTTTTTCAACCGAAGGACGATACGATCGATCGACTTCACGATTATAGGACTATAGTGAATTGACGTCGAGATGTGCGGCAACAACTGCGTCCATAACATTTTGAAATTTTACTACGTCAGGAAACTTAATGGCCCGTCATTACAACTGATAACCGCGGCGATAACAGCGTCTGATTGTAGCGGTTTGAATTTTTCACATTTTTTCGTGATAAATTTTTTTTCTCTCGATTGACATAACCGTCTAAATAGATCTCTAATCGTGCATCGGCGAGTTGTTAAAAAAATAAAAAAAAACAAGAAAACGAGAGAAGTGATGGACGTCTCAGAAACTGCGCTGCGTCGTCGAATTTTATTAGTCGACAGCGGCAAGGAAAAAGCCAAGCGAGCCTGTGCCGTAGATTCGTATGGCAATTTTCGTGGTTGCAACCTTGAACTATACCACGCATCGAAACGTTGCACCACACTCCGTTCCGCGGAACGAGCTTTCAGTGTCCATCGACCTCCGGATGTTTTTCCGAAAGCCCGGCTGTAAATCGGCAGAAGAAAACAAATGTGGCTTACGTTTGATCAACAGCGAGGCAAATCCGGCTGTTTAGCGAAGTCTGAGTAGACCGTGTCATAAAAGCGAAGATAAAAGAAACGCCGGGACTTGGTGAGCGCGTCGTCGCGCGGCACACCTGAGGCGCGTGACGACGGCGAATCTGATCGGATGTTGGCATTCGTGTGCTTTCGGTTCTCCAGCGCCAGATTACGATTACATCTATTGGCGCGTACATCGTCGACTCGAGCGATATGGCCATCGGGCGCATTCAACTTGGCTTGCTGCTGCTGTGCTGCAGTTTGCACTCGATCCTGGCGACGAAGGAGCTGCAATTCTTACACGTCGTGAGTACTCATCGCTGCTTCTCAATTCTTCTGCTCCACTGCAAAAGGGTGTGTCGATTTTCTTGTTGTTGTTGTCGAGACTTTTCCTTTAATTGGGACGAATGTCTGGGCGCATGATTATTATCTCTGCAGTAGTGTAAACAATGATGCTACGAGGCGCAAATTGTGTTATCTGTCCAATTAACATTCACGCTGCTGGATCACGATGGAATACGTATCGTGTGACACCTTTTATTGTTTGTTGTAGCTATCCGTTAATAAATTCTATGTACCCGACTTCAATCAAACATCCAAGGAATTTCAAATTCCCAGCAATCTGAGTTACAGCTATTTCCTCAACAATGCCGTGGATTTACCGAATGTAAGTTTTATTAAAAACTAAAAAAACGCCATTGAAGATAAGTATCTTATTACAATGATGCCATATCTGCACACAGACTGTTAAGATGAAGTTGTTCAATCTTGGAGAGCAATTAAGATTCAAGTACGGCCATTTTATCGGATCTTTGTACAGCGATGAAGTGATAAGAATGCAAACAGTAGGCTTTCCCGTGTCGATTATGGCTGGAGAGCTGATAAATGCTGGTTTATGGCCACCTGTCGAGGGACAAATTTGGAAAGACGATTTAGCATGGCAACCCGTACCATTCGGTACACCATAATGATTTTCAACGACTCGCTTGCTTTACCCTCACCTATGTTAATGGCGTTTTTTTTTTACGTAGAATACAGACCGGTGGACGAAGACACTCTGTTGCTAGGCATACTGTGCCCGAATTTCGAGAAGGACACGCGCAAAGTTATCAAAGATCATTACAACTTGAGTTCGACGCATGGAGATTTGTTGCGACACATCAAAGAAAATGGCAAGATTAACGTAAAAACGCCGTTAGATGTGCTGATGTTGCATTTGGCTTTTGATAACGGTGTAAGTGTCTTTATTTATTTTTCAATTGATAATAATTCACTAATGGTACGAATACCCATGTTTCTCGCGAGGACTTCTGTCTGCTGTAAATTTTTCATTTGCAAAAAATGTCCAGTGGTTTTTACGTCAGAATAATTTAATTACGTTGCAATTATTTGACCGAAATTAAGAAAATTCAACGCAAATAACGTGATTATAGAATGCGCATATCAAGAACAATTTGTTTACAAATAAGCAATTACCGCGCATCAAGCCGAACGAAGCAATTAGCACAGTAATTAGAGGGAACTGCTAATGCTCGGATATCTAATGCTGAATTGTGATTTCTATTATGTGTTTTCACATGCTGTTGGATATAAAAATAGACGCGTTGCGATATTGCCACTCGCGATGGGCGTGCGGCCACTCGCAGAACTTTATCGCGAGCACAACACGATTACCGCATAAAGAGACGTAACGAAATGTGATCGGACGCACGATCCCTCGCACGGAAAATGCAACGACGCGGTGAATTTTCAACGCCACTTTGTTTTACAGAAAGAACTCCATCAAAATTTCCCAAAATGGATAAGCGAACTTTATCCCACCGACGCACTGACGAACCTCACCCTCACCGCCTACGATCTCCTCTCTACGACCAAGTTGCAAAAACATCTCAACGGTGGCTCACTGCTGAAGACCATCGTGAACGATTGGCAAGCCCGCGTCAACGGGACTTTACACAAGGATCGGAAGATTCACGTTTTCAGCGGCGACGACAGAAACCTCGCTGGAGTCATGAAGAATCTGAATCTGACTATGACGGAATTACCGACGTCAGGCGAAGCACTCATATTTGAATTGTGGAGCGAAGCCAATCGACATTACGTGCAAGTGAGTACGTGGACTTGGCGATGCTGCGCGGATTCGCTGATACATTTTGCTTTCTAGGTGATTCGCTACATGGGCAACCACAAGTTTACGTATCCTCACAAACTGCCTGGCTGCGAAATCTACTGTCCTGTCGAAAAGTTTCGCGAACTTGTCGCTAACGTTTTGCCGGTTGATGAACTATCGCTTTGCGGCTCCGTGGATCGTGATTCTGGAAAAGGTCTGGGACAAGCTGACAAAAAAAGTGCGAGCAGTATTTCCATTGCGAACGCTCTTCTAAGCTTCGCCTCGTTAGTTTTGCTGTACTTTAGCGCCAAAGTTTAATCGTCACTTGTAAATGTTAAAGTATTCTTCAACTAATTCTTTGTTACTTATTGTTTACAAAACATTTGTAAAAATCACTTTTTCGAGTATATACGAACGAGATGATGAAATAAAAAACTCTGACGGATGTGTTGTTGAGACGAGCTCCTATGTATTGTTGCGTTGATAGTGTGACTTCCTTAATTATAACACTTTTTACAGTAAGTCCGACTAATAGGTAATGATGACAAATGCATGATATCTGATGGATAATATTGAATAATACATAATTTTATGTGTAGTTAGCATTACTCATTGCCATAAGTTGAATTTTTACTCGCAAAAAATGAGTTCCGTCGACATACTATCTATAAAAAGAACGTCGAGGAAAACTGCTCTAATTGTACCAATAATGCGAGCGATAATTAAACTAATTAAGCAATGGACTCGTGGGCTTGCTAAACAACCTTTACCAGTAGCAACGAAAATTTCTGCGTCGAATAGTTTGAAAATACATCCTCGCCAAGATGAATTGGCAGATTTCGCCGCTGACGGTCATCAATTTCGTGACAAATCTGATGAACATACTCTTCCCAACCAATTTCTCCTCGGACATGCTATTACAGATGAACGTCAACATCGTCGAGAGGAAAATCAGCATGAAGGATTTTGACTTTCCCATGGAATCGATGGAGGTCGCTCGAGCTTTGGCGCTGAATCGATTTCCGGACAAATTTCTATTCGGTGCAGGATCGTCGGCATATCAAATCGAAGGGGCGTACGACGCCGATGGTAAAAAGAATGACGACGTATCCGCCTAGTTTTCAGATAAGTTTCGCTATTGATTTGTTGTTTTGAAGGAAAAGGTTTATCGGTATGGGACTTTTGGACGCACAATGATGCTTCACCCATCGTCGATAAAAGCAACGGCGACGTCGCTTGCGACTCGTACCACAAATACGCCGAGGACGTGAACCTTGTGAAAAATTTGGGGGTAGCTACAATTCACTCACATTTTGCGTTTTCAAACGTGTTTCGATATGATGCATGCATTTTTGAATACAGGGAAATACGTATCGAATCTCATTGTCGTGGTCACGAATACTCCCGCACGGTTTGTCACATTTCGTCAACATCCAAGGAATAAAGTACTACAACAATCTAATCAATACCATGATATTGAACGGTGTAACGCCAATGGTGACCATGCACTACTACGATGTACCGGTAAAGTTACAATTGATGGGTGGTTGGACGAATCCACAGATGGTCAAGTATTTCGAGGACTACGCACGCGTTGCCTTCAATTATTTTGGAGACAGGGTGCGTGATACACTTCAGAAGTGAATTTTTATCTTTCCGTTGACTTGATCGGTCGATTGGAACGGTAGGTCAAACATTGGATAACATTTAACGATCCGTTCGATTTGTGCAACATACACTTCGGCAATGCCTACAAGCCTTGGTACAACGACAGCGCGGTCGGCAATTACCTGTGCGGTCACCACGTTCTTTTGGCTCACGCGAGGGTCTATCACCTATACCGCACGGAGTTTCATTGGCTTCAGAAAGGTAATCAAGTGCGTTGAATCGATATTTGGCTCGAGTTCCGACGCCAAACTGATTTGCAGGTAAAGTGGGCATAAGTATCGGCACACAGTGGTTCGAGCCTAAAGATCCCACGTCGTTGGACGACGTAGAGGCGACCGAATTGAGCTTCCAGTTCGGCACCTACTGGTTTTTGAATCCTTTGCTCGGAGAGCTAGGCGATTACCCAGATCTCATGAAAGTCGAGGTGGAAATTAAGAGTGCATTGCAACGCTATCAGACGTCGAGGCTGCCGAGTTTTACTCTCGACGAGAAACAAATGATCAAACAGAGCCTCGACTTTTTAGGGATCAATTTCTTCACCAGCTTTTACGTGCAATCCATTGCGGATGATGTCGAGATCATATATCACTACGACAGCGTGATTCGAAATGAGTCGGTTTGGAATGACATGAGGTCGCAGTGGATATTTTTCGACAAGGTCAGTTTTCGTTTTCTTTGTAAAAATTAGCGCGCGCTGTGCGAAACATATTTCCAGTTCGAGAACGAATAAGTTGGAAGGATAAATGTACGATAAAAATCACTGATAACAAAACCGGTTAGCTGTATCGCTGCCTCTTTTTTTTCATCGAAATATTCGAGAAACTGTTTTCGAACTGACAAGCAGATGCGAATAATTGAATTTCAATTATTCGTGTCAATTTTTTCTCTTTATCTTTATTATTTCCAAGGATATACTTGCTGGCTTTTTTATATAATTAGCTATGAATGCGAAAAGAAAACGTCATCTTTAAAGCTTAATTTTGATTGTGTTTAGAGTACACCTGAAAATTTCGCAAAATTATTGCAAAGGTTAAACAAGGACTACATTTTACCCCAAGTGTATATAACTGCAAATGGTTTCATCGATAAAGGCAACATTTACGACGTGGACAGAGCTTTGTATCATGTTAATCACTTGATCGAATTGTTTGTCAAGATGTTTGATGGCATTGACGTGAGAGCTTACATCGCTTGGTCTCTACTCGACGAATTTCAGTGGATGGATGGTTATACGTAAGTAAACGTTGTTATTTAAAAAAGGTAAGTATATTTGTCGCAATTACATGAATTTATTTTTTCAAGACAAAAAATGGGCCTTTACTCCGTTGACTTTGAAGATCCCGAGCGTCCGAGATCAGAAAAATTCTCAGCTACAATTTTGAAAAGCATTTACAAGTCGAAAACCGTAACAAAGATTACAGAGCAACTTCTGCAAAGTTGAATTTATAATATATCGAATAGATTGTATGGCTGTTAATAATAATAAACGTAAATAGTCTTGATAACATATTTTGTTAGTTTCAGGAATTTATTTAACGAGGTGACTACATCGTTCTTCTACAGAGGAAAAAACTAGTCGCTATTTTCTTGTTCTTTTAATCTATATATTTTCTAAACGTCGGGCAATCATCTTAAAGTTCCTATGAGGCTCCAATCAACGCAGTTAGCAATTTCAAATCAATTACAAAATTATCTGTTCGCTCGGATAATAAAAATCTTTTACAATGTTATTTGAGTCATCGCTGCTGAATGTACCTTATACATTATTAAATCTCGTTTTCCTACGCAATGACAATGGTATTTTTTCCTGTCTATCGATTGAAATACAAATTGAACACATATTCTTGAATCTAATTTTTTTTTCTTTAGCAAATTCGGAGTTTAATATTTAGCGAACAAATTTATTATACTTTTGGCAGACTTTTTGTTACATATTGTACATTTTCATTACCTAGTTATAGTTTTTATTTTTTTCAATTTTATTATTGAAACTAACTAAGAAAGAATTTAGAGTTTAATCAATGTTTGTTTTGTAAAGAAACCTGAATTGTCAGTGACGTTTTAACCTATTAAAAATCAGCAGATTTTTTCTTTTAGATTGAGTGATTATCCACTAACATAAATGTAAAAAAAACATTAAGATCGAACGACACACCCATAGATTAAAAACACTGATATTAAAAAGATTCGCGTTAAAAGTGTAAAAAAGCTGAAAAAGATTTGTTTTTACATATAAAAAACATACAATATTTACTTAATGTTATCAACACATCAAGAAATAGAATTTATTATTTGTACTAGGTATTTAATGAAATCGAGTCGTTCTTCATTTGTTTTTTATTACTAAACTACCTAGTTTGAATTTGTTAATAACAACCATAATAAATACAAAAATTCCAAGTTTAATAATTATTTCAGGAAGTTTATATTTAAAGCTCTACTCTAACGATAATATATTTGTTGAAAAATGAAAATCGTTTTTATTAAGTGTGCTCGAATAAAAATAAAAGATATAAATTATCATTTTTAAACAGTAATACTGAAATATGCGGCAGAGTTGAAAGTTTTATAAGTTTAAAACTATTTGTAATCCTTGATCCCACGTTTTAATGACGTCTAATAATAGTTAGTTATAGTCATTGTTGTAATTGTAACATAATTGTATGGAATATACGTAGCATTTTAAATATAAAATAAACACAACAAAAATGACAAAAAAATCTATATTAATTTCTTAAAGCATAAGATAGATTTTAAGCGATAAATAAAGTATATATTATAAAACTTAATTCCATATTACTATCAAAGTTTTCAAATCAATAGCAATATTATTAACGAAGCATATGACTAATCTTCACCGCTACAAAGATAGCAATAAAATATTTTAAGTACTATAAACTTCAAAGATATGTCACTATTTATGTTATTCATTCCTACTATAATATTATTTAATCCTTAAAAATATTACTTCTTAGGAAATATGTATTTAGAATACACATTGAATTTTGTTAATTTAACATTTTAGACATGTCGTTTCTTTTTTAAATTAATACAATATTAATAATTTTAAATCCATCACGATTTTCGCATTCCTTTCTTTTGGAATAGTAGCTTAACATTCCACAGTATTTGCATAAATTAAGCACGATACCGAATTATTATAATAAATAATCATAATAACTTTTATGTTACAAAATATAAATATTTATAATTCATTACGAACGTCTAATACAAAAATGTTAATGTCCGCAAAAAAAGAGTAAATTGTGCCGTCATAGTATGTAATAAATTAAGGTTTTATCTAACAAAATTTCTCAGTAATTGTAGGTACTCAGCACCACATAACAATCACAAAAAAACAAACTGAAATTGCTTACATATTTTTAAAAACTTTTGTTATACACGTGGCAAATCTACAATTAATAATTAATCGTTAAAGTGGTCAACTCTTTCTGAAAGTTTGAATTTATAAAACAAAAATCGTCCTTTGTCGATATTTCTTTGCCAAAAGGCAAAAAAAATAATCCTTCCATCACAATTTTAGTACGTATGTGTAGACTAATCATTATCGTACGGAGTCACTAGTTGCATTGGCTTAGTTGTATGCTTTGAAGAAGACTAAATGTTAGTTTGTTAACTACGGTAACTTGTGTTATAACACACGCGTATTTTATATGATTTCAGAGTTTTTCCACATCAGTCTGCCTTATAAAATAAAAGTTGTTCTGTATATACAAATACAATAATGTATATATCAATCACGTAATATGCAACTAGAAAATAGTATAGTAGTTTAGTCATGAATATTTGGGAATAATCACAGTTTCCAGTGAGAATAAGTGACAACAAGTGCGATTAAACGTTAAGTAGTTATTAATTAGTTAAATACACGATTAAGAATCCCACATTGTACTCGATGTAACGGATCAGTATTATAGAGATTTGCTGCACGGAATGTTCAAGTATAAATAATAAGGAGCAAAAAACCAAAAAAAACCGAGCAAACGAAAATTATTTACAAGCTTTGGTAATTGACAATGATGAGTTATTTCATTTTTCTCAAACAATTGTCATAAGAAGATATCGATTATTTTTTAGAATAATTATTCGGAAAATTCAATATTTTCCCTCCCAACTCTCATTATCAACATCCACGCACGCAGTCACACTAATACTTGTTTGAAAACGTTCACTTGGCACGTGAGTGTATAAGTGTGGCTTACTCGCCGTCGGACGATTCTGTCGAGCTTTCCGGCATCGAGCTAAACCAATTGCCACGAGAGCTGCTGCTCCTGAAAGAAGGAAAAACAAAGCCGTTTAGCTTCCCTCTCGTATATCCATCAGCGATCGTATAACTGACACATGCCGCTTATACGTGGTTGCAATAAGCAGTATCGATTATCGATTTAACGACTATTGTTTTTTTTTATGTTGTCACCTTGTACGTTGCCGACTGCTCGTTGGCAATGTAAATGATGTCCTGTAATACTGAGGAGTAGTACTCGAAGTAGCATCCTCGGGTCGCCGCTGTAGTGTCATCGTCTCGTGCGGCGAGGTCACCATCTCGTTCTCATTGTCAAGATAATACCTCGAGCCGTGTGCACTCTTGCAATTCTCACACTCACTTCTATAATCGTCCGTGTCGTCGTGCAACGGTGGCAATGCTTGCGCGCTGCAAGTACACGTCACCGAGTCGAAACTACCTTCCTCGTTCACTTCGTTAGCAGTTGCGAGTGGAGGCTACAACAACAATAAAAAACAATCGATTAAAAAAGCGTTTTACAAGAAAAGTTTTTTATCGAAAAATAAAAATTAATGTACCTTGTAAGTGCCGGATGTAGAAGGTATATCAGAAGGCTTAACATCCACAGAATTGGTCGACGTAGAAGGCACGTCTCGCGAGCATGAGGTGTCGTAAAAAGCATTAGTACGAACAGCAGGATCGCCACTCGTTAGAGTGGAAGGAATGCTCGATGGAATGACTACGCGTGTATTGCTGGATCTTGGCGATGGGTTTTTCTCCTTGGTCGGAGTTTTAGAATGCGTTGATTTGGCATCGAACAGTGGTGCAATCGGTTGACGTACCGAATATTCCCTCTTCAAGCGTAAACTGCCACTGGTGGCTAAAGTCCTCGGTATCGTTCTATGAACTCCACCGCTAGAATTCGGTAGTGTGGCAGATATTGAAAATGCCCCGCCTTGACGTGGAAGAGTCGTATGCTGCTGGTGACTTTGTGCTGTAGAATTTTGCGAATTTGGCAGTAGAAGTTGATTGCTCGAAGTAGTTGGTTGTGAAGTTATATTAGAAACGCTATTTGATAAGGCTACAAACAAGACAAAGTAAAAGCATGAAACATTAATTAAAATTTACATATTAATATTTAGCAGTATAAAATACTCACTTGATCTATTTACAGGAGTAGGTAGGTTTTCATAGGTATTCAACCCCATAGAAAAACTGGATGCACAGGCACCAGGACAAAACTCTGAAATAGTCGACTCCACTTGATAACAGCTGTGAGCAGCTGGACTGCTGAGAGGTCTATTGTTAGTAATCAGTGGAGAAGAGCTGGATGCATTATTTTGAGATAATGCAGGAGAACTAGCTGGTAGACCATTTTGAGTATTGCTGACTATAGAAACATTGCCATGTGCACTTTGGGCAGATACATAAGCTCCAGAAAAATTCAATGGTGACAGCGTACGAGGATTGACTGACAACAAAGCTTGTTCTGCTCTGGCTGCTGCCACAGCTTCTTCGTATGGTGGTGGTGCTTCTCCTCGAGGGAAATAACTACTTGGTGGTTTCCACAATGGATAGCCTCCGTTGCAAGGTACATCCTCCATAGGCATGCCCAACTGTACACTGTTTCTGTCCAAGTACCCTATACTGCCTAGAGATCTTTGATCATCCGATAATTGATGACTCTGTCTACCAGCTGTGCAAATTTGAGTTGAATTAGTAATAAGCTATAATGGCATGGAAGAATATGTAATTACCTCTTATTTTTCTTCTCCTCAAGCGGTGTATCAGGAATATAAACAGTCCCAGTGACAGGAGAGCTGTTATGCAGCTAGCAATCAGACGCAATCCTAAGTCATAATTTGTACTATCAACGATAGTTGCTCCACTACCATCTGTCTTGTCATTGACTGATATAGCATCATCAAGGCAGATTAGTTCACAGCAAGTACTTCCAAAGCGAAAAGTCTTGCAATCCTTGTTGGGCAGACTCTCCTGATTCTTGTACTGCAAGATATCATGTGTATTGACTTTTACAATTCACAACACATGTACACAGTAACGAATTTATCAACGCGAATAATATACCTTGCAGAGTACAGCTTTGCACAAGGTGGGATTGCCATTGTCGCAAACGCAAAGAGTGCAGGGTTCGGGTCCAGGAATGTAATGATAGCCAGTCTCGTGAAGCAGCCCGTTCACATCTCTACAAGTGGCACCAGCAGCCAACACTCTAGCTATAAAGCAACGACATACGTACAATGTTAAACACACTGCCTTTTTCATGGTATCGTGTAGATGATATATAAGTATTTACCATGGAAGAGCGTGAGGAGCACGTAGCCGAGCAATAGCTCGCGCCTCATCGTCGTCCACTTCCTCTAGTGCGCTATCTCATTGTCTGGCCGACGGCGATCATCGTTGTCGCAGCAGTGCAGGCCGCACGATTATTCCGCAGCACTGCATGTTTGTATCACAGCAACGTGTTCCTTCCACTGCACATCACTGCGCTTCGAGCTTCGCGAGCCAGCTGGGCGAGCACGCACTGAGCTCTGGCTCTGCTCGGCTATACGGGTAGACAGAGATGGATAATCGATGTATCTTTCTCCCCCCCTACTCTTTTGCCGCTGAAAGGACGGGAAACTAGAGCTGCGCGTTGTCTGACCGTCAGGTGCAGCGCGCTGTGACTGCGTCAGTTCATGTTCGTATCATGTTTTACTACTACACGCATAAACGCGTGGTTATTGTTATGTAAAGTAGGAAAGGATGTGGTGCGCTACAAACTTCTATGGCGTGACTTGGATTACGTGCCTTATGTTTCAATGTAAGATTATTGTACATACGTTGAATGGATGCGCTTTTGCGTTACAAAAAGTTTATGTTCAGCTGAAATTATATGCTTTGCAATTATTCAAGAAGGATGAGCTTTTACATGCAGATAGCATTGAAAAAGTGTCGCAATATTCGAAATAGTTCGATGTCGTTAATTTAATTTTTCGAAGAGCGTTTGGTGGTAAACCGGTACTCCAGAAAAAATGTGCAATCAAAACATAGCTTGGCTTTGATTTTACTCACGAACTTTCGCCAACATAAATAAATGTAACTGCGCTTCATCGCGTTCAAACATTATTAAATAGAATCGCTTGATAAGACAAATCGATCGATTATGATAAAGAAAAGTGAAGAAACAAATTACGGCGCGTTGCCAGCAACGAGCCATAACTCAATAAATCGCATGTGCGTGCAAATCGAAATCAGCCGCAGTAGTGAAGACAATTAGGCATGAAAGCAGGCGCGCCCGCAGCAGCCAATTTGTCACGTATGTGGGCCGTCAAAGCGATGCTGGCCCGCTGGGTAGACGTCAATTAATCGAATCAGCGTATTTTCGCGAGGAGGAGGGGGTGGGGCGCTGCGCCGTAATTCAATGAATCGCACGTGCGCGCAAATCGAAATCGGTTGCAGCAGCGAAGACAATCGGGCATGAAAGCAGGCGCGCTCGCAGTGGCCAATCTGTCACGTATACGCGTGTACGCGCGTGGGCCGGGTCCAAGGGCCCGATAGGCACCCACGTCGGTCAATCGTATTAGCGTTTGCGCGAGCGCGCCGTCAACCGCTGCAACGCAACGCATCAGCCGCCGCGCGCTGCTCCGAACGATCGATTGGCGGAAGCGGCGAGAAAAACGTGCCTGTAGCCTTCACGGCCATGCGACGAGGCGGCCTTCCTAGCTGCACGTCGGGCGTTCATAATCGCGGCGCGCGCGAGTTCAAGCCTGAAACATCGATAATTACAAGCTCGTGTGTGCTTGGTTAATCCTTTTCTCATGGTATAACAGTGATCGCGCGATTGCTTTTCAGAATATCTGCTCGCTCATGACTCGAAATGTGACTCATTGTCGAAGCGCGAGACTATCGGCTTTGACATTCTTGCGTACGTTCGCGTTTAGCAGCAATCTTCCAGAAGAAATTGAAGCTTTTTCATAAGCTTTTTTTATCCGTCGTGAAGGAATTTTAAAATAGTAGGGAACTGTTTCGTCGCTACGTAACTCACCGTCAATTTCTTTATCTCTTTCGTTAAGCAAAATATCCTCTTCGACACACTCGAGAAAAAACGAAACGCATGATTCACTCATGCAAATCGCGAATTTACGCGAGAGAGAAAAACGAAACGTCAACATCCAACCATTTTTGTCGATGAGTTCAAATTTCACGACGAGCGCACACTTACGTTGCGCGTTTCTCAACCGTAGAAATTAAAAAAAAAATAAATAACAAAAACAAAAAAAGTCGAAACGAGATACTGATATTTTCGGACTCAGTTCAAAGTTTGGTTAACCATCGAAATTAAGCAACAATTTTTTTCGGCACTCAAAATTAAATATTACCGGTACAAAGAAAATTTAAAAAAGAAAAAAAAAGTTTAAAAAATGAACGAGCTTGAGGACGAACCTTTGGACGTGCAACAAGCAACGCCCGTCGGCGATGAAGTTCGCCGTGGACAGGTCTACGAGATCGCGCGAAAGAGAGTCGAAGGCTCGGCTAAGCACAGCTGCAAAAGAGAAGTAAGCGCAGTCACGCGATTGCTCATTTTGCGCTCTACGGATAAGCCTAACGCTTGACCTTGAACATCGCAGAGACCGAGCGAGCCGAATCCCGATTGCTGCGAACTGAAGCGACGCAAGCCGTCTGGCCCAAAGTCCGTGAAAATGTTCGTTTTCGGACCGGAGTGCGATATTTATGACCAGAAAGAACGTGTTTATCCGCAGTGTTTCACAAAGAAGGAATATCTTGACTTTTTGGCTACTCCAAAGTAAACTAATGTTTTTCCTATTGGCAATTACGTGACAGTAAATGACTGTTGTGATGTGTTGCTCGCAGGCAATTTTGCCCGACCCAGTGTGCCAAAGTAGAGGTGACGAGGCGGGTGCTGCCGATATCACTGAGAATCGAGGAGCTGGCGAAACCCACGAAGAGGAGGTTGTTGGGCACTTTGGAGACCTATGGATCGATGCTAACTGCTGAAAAGGTAGACCATCTGATTCAGTATGTCGAAGGAGGAACTACATTGACGCCTGAGTATGTTATTTAAATAATTGTAACTTTATTTTTCATTTGATTGCTTTAGTATTTTATTTAATTGTAAATATTAAAAAATGTCAAATTTCTTCAAATCGAAATACATTTTCGTTACATTGTTCATAAAAGCAATGTGCATTACACTGTTTTTTTTTTCAATTTATAGTTCACATGAATTAATTTTGCTCATAACATTCTATCTATTAATTTCAAACAGAATTATTTCATTGTGAAATCGTTCGATAAATCATTTTGCTTTCTGCTAGACATATTTCAGTTCATTGCTTCAATTTTCCTATTAATACACATTGGAACGTTAAAATCCAATCGGTATTTTGTAACAAAGTACTTTGTTAGATTGTTCGTAAAAAAAATTAAGTTTTATCGAGCGACGATTGTTTTAACTACTTTACTTTAAGGTCTTGAGATTTTTCTTCAACTTATTTTTCACGCTAATCGATTTCCCCCTAAATAATCCATTCGATCAGACAGAAAAGTATACTCACAATGAAATTAAAATGCCATAACTGAAAAATGAATTAAAAAGTTGTTCTACTATGCAGACAAGCAGAAACCCTTGTACGAGATCGAATGTACGCGCGCAAGCTCAGCAAAAAAAAGAAAAGGAAAAAACTCAAGTGCCCGAAGAAATCGAAGAAACCGCCGAAGGCGGTTTGCGAGTCGAGCATCGACCTCGAGGCGGCGAGCTGTCAGTACACCATAGCCCAATGCTTCGTGCGCAGCATTCTCTGCCGAACTTGTGCTCATCCGCAAGAGGAGTACCGTGACATCGCCGAAGTTATTCTGCGGAGACTGAGCGAAGTGTTACAGTACGAACCACTCGGCACGGAGGATCGAAAATCCCAGCAGATGAGACTGCTCGCGAGCGTCTTCGCTTGTTGGATCATCGAGATCCTCGTCGAGCTCGCGGACAAGAACAGAGAAGCGCTGGAGGCCGAGTGCTTGAAGAGAGAGAAGGAGGCTTCGGAGAGAGCACTGATGGAAGCAGAACTGCAGGCGGCAATGGATGCCGATGAAGATGGCAGAGACGGCGACGACGACGACGATGCTGCCGACGACGACGACGACACCGACGTCGACGAGGACATCGACGCCGACGACGGAGCGTCGAGCGGAGCGACTAGCAGGACGGGCGAGGAGGGCAGCTTCGAAACGCTCCCAGACGGGGACGCGAGAGCCGAGACGTCAACGCAGTGCGACGCCGACGACATCGCGTGCCAAGCGACCGAGCAGTCCGACCAGAGCCAGCAGTGCGAGGTGGACGGCGAGGACTGCACGGAGAGCGTCGAGCCGTGCACGGACGACGAGCAGCAAACCGAGTGCTCGGTCAACTTGGACGCCGGGTGCGCCACCGAAGAGGACGACGACTACTGCCACGCGAGAAAACTGGCGTCGCGCGTGAGCACCTCGCTCGACTCCGACCTGCCGTTCGTCACCTTCGCCAAGATCTTCGACACCCTCTACTGCATGATCGAGCGCGAGTCCGAGAACGCGCTCTGCGACCCGCTGGACAACCGCATCCATCGCGCCATCTACGAGAAGTTCGAGCAAGCCGTGATGCTCGACAGCCCTGCGCTGCTCACGCCCAAGATCAAGGACGTGATCGACGTGAACGCCGGGAAGATCGCGCTCTGGATTCGGCGCACGCTCCAGCGCGAGCAGATCGACTTCGCGAACGAGCACCCGGCGGAGGTCGAGTCCAAGGAGCTGCGCTGCTGGTCCAAGTGGGTGCTCGAGGTGGCCGACCGGGGCATCGACCAGTCCAACTGGCTCGACAAAACCATCGGCGAGTTGAAGGACATCAGGTGCTCCGGCAGAACCACCCGGGGCGACTGGCAGCGGTACACCAGCAAGTTCAACACCAACGCCATGCTCTTCAGGCGAGCTTACACGGAGGCGCAGCACGAGAAGCATCACAACACGATGATGATGACCGACAGGAAGATCGTCAAGACCGGTTGCAAGAGGCGATTGCCGAGGTTCGCCGAGAGCGAAGAGTGCCACGCCTCCGACGTGCACGAATTGTAAACGAATGTGGAACGAATAAAAAAATGCAACTCCTCTCTCTCTCTCTCTCTCTCTCTCTCTCTCTCTCTCTCTCTCTCTCTCTCTCTCTCTCTCTCTCTCTCTCTCTCTCTCTCTCTCTCTCTCTCTCTCTCATTGCTCCGTTCGGGCACGCTTTTATTACGTTCGCTATGATAGACAAGCGAAGGAAATAGAACGGACGCACGTGCCGTTGAAAAAAAGTTAAGCGACCATCGCGTCGCTTGGCCACCTCGTCACTCACGGAAAAAAAAATTCATCGATTTTATTTTTGCCACGAAAGTAGTCCGCCTAGACGCATGTATAAAAAAATAACGACGAGTGAGAGTTCAGCCGAAGCTAAAAATCGAGCTGAAAGGCGTTACTCTCGATCGGAGAAAGTGAGCGGAATCGCAGACAACGGCCAGGTAAAAGAATTGGAAACAGGCGATCTATTGACGAACAGAATCTTCTTTTTATTTTCTCTCCCGTGCTTTGTGCATAGCGTATGTATAGTTCGCGTGTCTTGCACGCGGATGCTTTTGCGGAACAGCTCGTGTAACACACACACATACACACACACAGATTTTGGAAAAATATCGTCGAGCTAAACATCACATTTGTCAAACGAACATATATGCACAGACATAATTGGAGATGTTTCTCCTTCGCGAATGTCCGAATAAGAATGCGACTCGTCAGCCGCGAAGACAACGGCTGTTTCCTGCCTTCAAACGGTCTGCCTCTCGTCGTCGACGGCGCTGCTCGGCTCGTGGGTGTCGCCCTCGCTGCTGGCGGTCCTGATGATCGGCTTCTGCAGCAAAGAGATACGTCGGCAATTAAGAATGAGCGCGAAGCGAGTCTGCCGCCGAAAAAAAAAGCGAAAGCATCGGCTCTTGACCTACTCGAAAGGAGCGGTGCGCGCGCGCGCGCGCCGAACGAACGGTATATCTCCTCGCGGCGAGAGCAGAGCCTTGGGATCGTTCGTTCGCCTCGTGCGCGGTGGATTCGCGCAGGGAAAAAGCGGAAGGTAAACATTGCCCGTGACTCTTATGTACAGCGATTGGTCTACAAATTATGCGAAAGCAGCTGTTGTCGCTTCGCGTTCAATGCCTTTAATTTATGGCATTTCTAACTCTCTCCTTTTTCTTACTAATTCCGGACTTATTATTATTTTTTAATTTCCCCTAATTTTTGCGGATTGAATTAATTCCTTTTACAATATGCTCGAAGATAGCATTGAATTTGAGTGCGAATTGTCAAGTTAATAAAAAATTCTTAGGACAGTCGATAATATCGAGTGAAGGCAATATCGGACACGGGATTCGACAACGATAATAAGACATCGTAATCGAAGAGCGATAAATCGAAATGGCTTATAATCGCTCGAAATTTGTACAGGTGCGCGTAAAACAATCAAAGGACTATCAAACGCGCTTACGTACGCACATCGTCAGAGATATATTGTCGCTTTACAAGCTAATAGATTCGCGCGCAGTCGAGCATTGCCGTCATGTTCGTGAAGCTCCCGACTTCAGGCATCGAGCGATTGGAACTTCGGAGCTGAATACGTGGCTCGAAATGTACTGCGGATCCGACCCTCGACTTCCGGTGTCGCCTGCTTCTCTTCGGAAACGTCAATTTAATACGACGCGAAAAAAAAAAAGAAATATTAATTGGAACACGTGCACGTATATCACGCCTGAGTGTAGCCGGCCCAGATATTCCCCTTCTCCGTGTTTTGCATTAAAAGTGTGCCGTCGCCCCACTATATGCGTTTTCTAAAGGAACGCGCGCGCGCGCGACGGGGTAGGGGAAAGCCCCTGACATTGCGCGCGCATCGGACGAGTCGTCGAGCCGCCGTGGTTCATCGTCGAGCCGTGCGGCTTTCCCGAATTATCAGCTGCACTCGGGCCGCAGAACACGTACGCACACGTTTTTCGTCAGCTAGCCCAGTGGCCTCTTACTGTCCCGCTATACACTCTGCGGATGCTACTGCCAGGTAAGACGAACATTTCTCTCTGCTTCTCGCGGTGCAGGCTATAGCACGTAGCTCGGCGCCGCTATCGATTTCCGTCGGCGCGCTGTCGACGGTGCTCCGCGAGCCCGCCTCGTGCACGCCTCGTGCACACTAAACTTGGAAAGTGCAGTGAAATTCTCTCTCTCTCTCTCTCTTTCTCCTCGCGGCAGAGTAGCGCGCACGACGGAACACAGCGGCGAATCCGCCGGACGTTTGGAAAGCGTGCGCAACTGATACTCGCATTCGCGAGTGAACGACATTGGCGCGAGTGTATCCGAGACAATTTGTTGAGCTGAACGCTCGTTGTGTAACAGAATGGCGCTAACGTGTTGGGAGAAGATAGCACTTGTGATAGTAGCAGCGGTCGGCCTGCGAATAACCGTCCGGCTGAGCTTGACGGTCTGGAGGAAGCTGATAGCACCGAATTTGGGCCTTGGTATCGACGTTGCGAGCCAGGGTAAGTGGGCAGTGGTGACCGGTGCCACCGATGGACTCGGAAAAGCTTTCGCGCAAGCTTTGGCGAACAAAGGCTTGGACATCGTCTTGGTGTCGAGGTCTCTGCCGAAATTGGAAGACGTGGCTGCCAACATTAAGAGGACTTACGGGGTAGAAACTCGCGTCGTCGAGGCTGATTTGACCGAGGGACAAGCTGTTTACAACAAAATCGGCAAGGCTATCGAGGAGCTTGAGGTGAGTAAATGCTCTCGTTCTCGCGCGCCAAGCAATTATCGTTTTTAATAACTCTAGATTAAGGCGTCACGTAACTCGTTTTTTCCCCTCCGATTATCGTAGACCGTCGAAATCGCCGTTTTCCGGAGGCTCTCTAATGTCCACTCCGGATTGCTCCGGAGTTTCGGGCACGCGAGTATCGCCGGAGGTAGAAAGTGAGTGCGCGGTGCGCGCGCGAAGCCCATGAATTTCTACAGAGAACGACAATCGCTACGGTCGCGGCGAGGCAGAAGCTCGGGCGTGACTTTTCTTGGGTCGACCGCAGCGGCAAAACTCGTGCCGCTGCTGCCTCCCGAGAAAGCCAAAGGCTCGCGGCAACGCGTCGTGCTCGAATTTCCCGTGTAGATTTGGAAACTTTCACGCGATCTGCGTGTGCACCTCTCGAAGAGGAGAGCGCCTCGCGCGCGCGTATCGCTTTCAAAAAACTTTCACTCCGTTGTTTGCAGGTAGGCGTGCTGGTGAACAACGCGGGCACGAGCTACGATCACCCGGAGCTGTTCACCCACGTGAGCGAGGAGACGATCTCGAGGATCCTGCAGCTGAACGTGGCCGGCGTGACCGGTGTCGCGAGGCAGGTGCTTCCTGGAATGATGGAGCGGGGCAAAGGCGTCGTTATCAACGTCGGCTCTGCGGCCGGTGCAATGCCGAGTCCCTATCTGGCCGTGTACTCGGCGAGCAAGATGTTCGTCGACAAACTGAGCGCCGATTTGGCTGCCGAGGCCGCCCCCAGAGGTGTCACCGTTCAATGCGTTCTACCTGGACCCGTTGCCACCAAGATGTCCAAGATCAAGTGAGTAAAAAAAAGCCGTTCGCTCTGTATCTATGAGAGGCGAGTGTGTGATGTTCTTTTTTGTCCGCGACGTCATTAATGAAACACATTACGGAAAAAATCCAAGCGATCTTTTCTTGCGTTTCTTTTGTAGTGATGCTAATGCTAACGAGATTGGCGCTTGGCAAACAGAGAAAAAAGTAACTGACTACTACTTGAGACTACAAATTCGATGCTGCTTTAAAATTTTTAACGATGTGACAGGTGTTTATGGAATTTCTGAATTAGGAGCTTTGCTTCTTTTTTCTTTCATTGTACGAAATCGAATATTCAACGCGACGTTTTCGCGTCAGCAGTTCGCTGGAAAATTACAGAGATTGACGGTGTTATGTGTGAGAAAATCACGAGCGTTTGTTTTTATTGAGCTATAACAATTACAAGTTGTCGCGTTGAACGGCCGTCATGAATATGAATTATTTTTCATTGCTGTTCAATAATTAAGTATTCGACGTTAACCGCGAGTACACATTCGTTACGAGAAAGAGAAAAGATGAAATTCAGCAATGGTTAAAATTGATTGAAGTATCCATGACGTGAGCTGGGAGCAAAAACAAAATTGCCGTTCGTGTGCTGCTCCGCATTGTCGCGCGCACAATGACCTTAAGAAAATGTTGATTCTGACGAAACGACAAATTATACAACCGACGTTTTCCAGGCGCGCCACGTGGATGGCACCAACACCGGAACGTTTCGTTGAGGCATCACTGAAAACCGTAGGCATTGAGCAACGCACGACCGGCTATCCACCACACTGTTTAATCTTGGGTTTCATCAATGGATTACGATGCATCTGCGAGAAAGGTGCCGTTTGGTTAGTTGCAAGGACAATGCTGAACATTCGTGGACGCGCGCTTCGTAAGAAGCCGAAAGATGAGGCTGCCAGTGTATCGAAAGAAGACGAGAGCAGCGAAGCTCTCGCTAGTTAAACACAAAGACTATAATGTATAATGATGTGATTCTTATGTGCTCTCTTACGCGCGCGCGCGCGGAAGTTTGTTTTTCTTGTTCTAGAAGAGGATAAAGGTGACGTTGTGCAAGCTTCGTTTGACCGCTGGGTCGTTGCATATAGTTATATACCAATCGTGTGTTCCGGACGTGAAGCGACGTTTCGTTGATTCAGTGCCTTAATATTTACAAGCGATTGTTTGTATATGTTTTTTTATTTTGGGCTTTGAGCGAGCAACGAATTGACAGCCACGATATGCGTCCATGTAATCACGATTTGTACGATCGTTGTTTTTTTTCTTTTTGTTATTAATAAAGATATATAGTTTATTTACGACATCGACCTTGTCATTTATTTAATGTCAAATACAATAAGTAATTGAATTGCTAATTCGACTTATTATTGTAGCTGTTAATATTATTGTCCATACGGTATATAGAGCAATATAATAATGACGTTTGGAATCTATGCTATACTCGTAAGGTGTATTGTTGTCGATAAAAAAGACATACGTTTATCATCAATTTATACATATTTTTGCTGTTAATTATTCTATATACAGTTGGTCGAATTTACGCATTTACTGATTTAAATGATTGATTGACGTGAAAATCAATATCACGTAAATTCGTTATTCGGGTTATTTTTAAAAATTTTTTATTTTTTAAAAATATATTTTTCCGAAAAGTATACTTTAAAAAAACACGTAGGAAACCAAATGTTTTCCTAGCATAAACACGAAAAATCATAGTCATATGCATGTCTTCCCCATTTGTAGATCATGAAAATGACATCGTAAAGCATATATACATATCTACGACTGAATTTCAATGTGTAAAATATTTTCACGTCTCTCATTGTGGAGTGTCTTTGAATGAATGATAATATATATCGTCACATCCGCTTCGCACACTGTATATATCTAAACGTCAATGGGAAGAAAACACACTTACAATGACCTGAAGCTGCATCTTCTCAACGGCGATTCCTTTGGAAGACGACGACACTGATAATCTCGGACTTGGTGACACGAGAATTTTTGGGTTCAATCCAGTACTTTTAGTCTGCTGACTGCCAACTAAATAAGAAAATGTATAAAAATTACATGGATATAATTTTATATGCGATAAATCGCACGAGTTGAATAACGAAAAACAACGATGTTTCGCTATCTATCACAAGGGACAAAGAAGGGAGGGGGAAGTGAGAGGATGAATTTACGCACCTTTGAGTAGACCTTGCACGGCTTGTCGCACGCTATGAACGATTCGTTTGCTGACACCCGGGGACTTTGGCTTTTCGGTTGATTTCTGGAAATTCGTACCTGCAACAACAGATGTCCGTGACGGTTCACAATAGACTGAAGACTGAGTTCATCGTTCGACAAAAACTGGAGGCGTTTTGGCCCCGGGCGCCAGCTGTTTTATGCATGTTTTTCAACTACGTGGAATGAATGTTTTCGTGCAACAGTTTTGTTTATTTAGGCTGTACTAATATGGAGCTGCATTGAGGTGCAAAACTAAAACGAAACAGACGTGGGAGTGAACATTTGTGCGCGGCGGATCAGCAAATCCCGACTGTGGCGTTGAATTTTCAACGGGACTTTTGACGTACGCTGCCGAATATACCGATTCGCTAAGCAAACATGTTTGCTCGCTCGCAGCGAAAGGCCAGCGATGTCGTAGAGGGAAAATATATCGCTTGATTCTTTATCGAGATTGAGCTGATCCGCGGGCAAGCTCAATATTGTTGGAGTCTTACCCAAGCTCGGTTGAATGATATTGACGTCGACGTTGGGTTGCCTGGAAGTGAATGACTGGAAGCAACGGCAGAACTCCTTCTTAAAATCGATCGCGTAGCTGCCGTAGACTAGAGGATTGGCGCACGAATTGCCAACGGCCATGATGAATAATGACTCCTGCACCATGTAGTTGACACTCTTGGCGCTTTCGTTGTCGATCACGTACCTGCATTCACAAACGCATTGTCAGTCACAGCCAGCGGCTATTTCGTATGCAATCGAGGACACTCGATGCCTTTTTATCTAGGAATTTTAAATGACTTGATTCCGTGCTGATTAAATTAAACTTGTTCAACCTTATTCTGTATTGGATTCAGTTTCATTGAGGCAATCGTCAGCATGGTAAGCTTCATTTGTATAAAATCAACTTGAGAGCTGAAATTCACTTGTTCGGATATCGATTGTAAACTTCAGCTTTTATTTGAGCTAGTTTTCAAAGGAAAGTCGATTTGAACTCTTTATTACCTATTAAAAATTTCAACAAGCCATTACTATATTTAATTAGTTCTGTAAATTTATCGACTAATGGCCATCTAATCGAGCGTGAAGTTTCAAAATTCGTCGTTCATTTTTGCTTGCGAATACTATGAATCGTGTACTCACAACAGTATGAAACATATTTCAAACGATTAATACCGCAAGTGCTGAGCTTTGTAATTCATATATTTTATAAAGTCTGAGGTATTAACGTTGAATTTGCAGTTAAAGTCACCTTTCATGTGTGCGTAACAATATATTTTAGTTTGATGCGAGGTGCACTTTAATGAGATCCAAATCTCGATACTGCTACAGTATGTGATAATATACATTATGTGTATTTCAATTTGTAACATCAGTTTGCGCCATTATGAAAATTTTAATCTGAACGAACATCCATGAAAGCGAATGCATGAGCGATCCCACGAAAAATTGCTTTAATACGTGAGTATTTTATCGAATTTTCACACTACGTGTACGCACTTACTCAAACGATTTTATCAATTTATAGAACACATTAAACGCGAAACAATGTGACCCCGCCTCGTGGCATGCTTGTGACAGCATTTTGGACTTATAGGAGAGTTTAAAAAAATGGAACATAACGTTTAACGTTTTGTGTATTTTAATTAGAAAAAACAAACAATAGCGTTATTCCAATTTACAATTTCTAATCCTACGGAATACCGCGCAATAAAAAAACCATATATTAGTCTATTTTCTGATCGCAATTTCGACTTCTACAATAAGATTTGTAAAGTGAAGCAATGCATAAGAGCTTTAAAGTAACAAAATTCGAAGACATGCGTAATACTAAGTGAGCTTTGGGTATTTTTAAAGCTCTGTACGTGTCAAAGTTTCGAGCAGAGGATAGATAGATTTACTTCGAAGTTCCCAATGCAACGTGCCATTGTGAAATCGTATCGAATTATTGCACTGTTTTGGTGGGATCGCTCACACAGATTATTGACAATACTGTTCAATTGTAAACGCTTTCAATGTAAATTGGCTCCCACGGTACAAAGTCAATTCTCGATTTATTCTATTGGAAATTGCGTTGACGCGTATTACGCGAGGACGAATTGACTTCCGTCGATAGTTCTGTAATTTCGTAAAGACTTCGATAGATAATCAATAAAAAAAACCAGTGGAGATGACCGTCCTGCAAAACTTATGATTATTCCAAAAATTATACTTCGCATTTAGGCGGATATTTTATTTCAACTCGAAAGATTACGTGTAATCTTTTGTAGATCCTATAACAAGTATCGCGTTGTCGTTGAGCCTCCGAGTTGTAAAAGCGAATGATGTGCAAGTAATTTGTTGACCGAAGAGCCATAACGCGCTGAACTGTGATTTACCAGAGACTCATCGTGATGTAGGGTGTCCAGCAGAGAATGAAGGCGACGACGATTTTGATGGTCATCTTCAACGTGCGACTGCGAGCTCTCTCGATGCTCGACATGTCCGAGCGACGCAGACGCATTCGGTTCTTCTGATTGGCGTTGGACGTGCTGATCGTGCCGTCGCTGTTGGACATTATGATGTCTGTAACGAGCAGCAGAAGAGACAACGTTACTCGTGCACCAGCGAGACACGCGTCCACGAACGGCGGCTCACCTGGTTTGCTGTCCTTTGATTTACTGCTTATTTCGCAGAGGATCTGCAGGTATACCCAGCAAATGATAGTCAGCGGTATGAAGTACATTGTCACGATGCAGAACACGTTGTAGATTTTCTCAAAGAGATCCGACGGAAAAGACTCGAAGCTCACGCACTGGGTGAAATTTTTGTGCTGCGGGTGAGTCGACACGTGGAACACGATGCTCTGCAAGTGGGCAAAATTGAGCTAAAGACACGTGTGACATCTTGAATGGGAAATTACATGCGACTAATCAGGGTAATTTGCAATTGAATTTGTAAGAACCATAGCTCGCTAGTTTCATAATAGACTGTTTGAGTTGAGATTAGCTCGTTGAGATTAGCTTCTAATTGAATGTGGACGAAAGCGAATATCCACTACGAGCCAAATTAAATAGCCGCTTCCTTTCACATTCGATGGAGCCCAAATTTCAACAGACACAATACGAGTAGATTGAATTCTGTATTTTCAATCAATAATGTTCGTCATTTCGCGACGTAGCATTTTCTTACAGAGTGCAGTAAATTTCCAAAGTAGTCCGGGGATAAGTCTATCGACAGTTTACTTGCCGTTAGCAAACGGATGCTGTGTAGCGCATTGTTATCGGCAAAGAAATAAGAAACCGAGGAGCCAACTTGTAACTAGCCGTCGGCAACGATGAAAAAAGGGACTTGGAAAAAGTAAACAGAACCTTCGATTACGTACGTGGCTGGAAACGACGTTACCCCTTACACTGTAAATAGCACGACTATTGTGTGAGCAACCAATCGCTGCTCAATAATTACTGAGCGTTTTGGTTTTAAAAACAAATGCTCGAGTGGGAGGGATACGCCTTAGGTAAATCGTGGCTGCAACTCCCCGATTCGTTATTGCCTAGTTCACGACATCCGCTGGCAAATGGACAAATTAAAATAGTGGCGTTGACCGTTCGATCCGGGGGCATTTTGTCGAACGCGCGCGTCGATTATTTCCAGGCATTGCCTTGGCTCGATGGAACTGTCACGAAGATCGTAACTGCGACTACGGCACTCGGCAAAAATGGACTTCCTCGTAGCGCAAGTGGCAACTTTGACGTGTCGGCTGTCCTTCAAATGTCTCGGTAGTAGACGAGCAGACTGAAAATAATGAAACGCTTCTAAATTAAAGTTTGTAGCGCCGGCGCGGCGAAATCACGGCTGGCGAGCCAGGCCAGCGAGCGCATTAAAACTGGAATCTCTTTTTTCCTCGCTTTGCGAGATCCGGGCTTTCCGAAGCACGACATAGGCATGGTATTTATTCGTTTTACCGGCGGCTTTGTTGTCGGGCCTTCAATCTCGTCGATGCGCATGTAACGAGCTTTCGCGCGGCGATTTCGCCTTTGACGCCCGCGCAAAAGTCAAAGCGCAGAATGAAAACACCGGCGGGACAATGGCGTGGAGCAGAGAAAGCTCTTTGGCGCATCTGTTATTCCCCAGCTCGCGCAAAGCAGAGTGCGCTTCGGAAGAAAGAGAAATCTCATCCGGAAAATTGACTGGCTTCTTGTGTGCACGCTCGCCTTGACTCGGAGTGGATTTTCCGCGGGGATGCAATCGAACGGTTTTAATCGGTCGCATCGACTTCACACACCCACGAGCGCGCTCCTGTCCTCTTTTTTTGCTCTCGGTGCGCCCCGCGAGGGGAAATAAAGGTGCAGCCATTCGGAAACAATGCCGCGGTTTCGCCGGAACAAGTCGCGAGAGGTGGACAGAGGAAGAGCGGAGGAAGCGAGGCGTCAGCGTGATAATTGGATAAAAGTGGCCCTTCATCCGGCCCGTCACATCGATCGTGTATTTTTAGCGGGAAGCTCTTCGAGACGAGACACTTGGCAGATGCTCCACTCTCGTGGGCTCGCGTTCACGACTGTCATAGGAGAGGGTATCGATTTTTACCCTGGCAAATCACGTTGATGACCTAAAACTTCTCGCGAATTATGAATCTGAGTACGATGAATGACGTTCGTACAGCTTTCGAAAAGTGTTCAAATCTATTCGGAACGGAAGGCACATGACATCGTTAAATTTGTTTAGGAGAGTAATTAAATTATTTTATTCAAAAACGATTTGATTTCGTGCTTAAATATTGTTAATGTCCACTTTGAGATTTATTCAAAACACTTTGAACCAGTTCGAACTACATTTGAACTACAAACTGTATTGTAAGGATCAGATTTAGGTGTGAATAAAGTATATCGAAACTTTTCATCATTGATAAATTCTTTCAAAGTATAAATACCATATTTACAACAAGTACTCGTGCAATGCCGGTGGAAAAAGTCGCAAGTTCGCGCATTTTCCAAAATTCTACGTAGGTGACTTTAAGTGCATGTAAAGAGTAACGTTGATCCTGTTACAATGGAATAATATGCTATTTGATCGCACAGGAGAACTTGATAGGAAACGCGAAAAAGGCGTTGAAGTTAAACTTGATGATAAAAAAACACGAAGAAAAATAATAAGTTTCCTAGAAAAGCATCACAACGTAAAAGATACTTCTACAGAAGCATTATTTACACAAGCAACACAAGCTGCACATCGGCATTGGACAGTTGCGATATTAATGGCGTGAACTCACTTGAGGTATCGTGTAAACGATGCTGGAAACCCAAGCGACGGTGAGCATGAATTTGCCTCGTCTCCTCGCGTCGTTCATGCGCAGCGGATAAAGCACCGCAAAGTACCTGCCGTCGAACAATAAGCGTCCGTTTATTCATCTCCCCGGGACATTCGCAAACGTCATGTAATTGATTGAATCGCCGGCGTTCGTCGACTGCGAATTATATATGAACTTTTCGACAGCAGCGGCGCCGGCTATTAAAACAAGCACGAAGCTGCGAATATCACGTTGGAGAAATTGCGAGGCTGCGATTGACGTTGCCTCGGCTCGACATAATTGATCAAATAGAATGTTAATCTGCTAATCTAAGTGTACCTGTCGAGCGAGACGCAAATGAGAATGTTATTGGAGAGGTAGAGGCCGAAAGCTCGAATGAATTGCAATACTTTACAGGCCACGTCTCCAGCGATCCATTGTACGGTTATTCGCCATCCAATCTGCAACGTCAGAAGTACTTGTTTAACGCGCGACGTATCGCGTTGCAACAAAAAGGTGTGAAAACTTGATGGAAATGGCGCTATCAAGGCAATAGATTATATATGTTCAATTCTATCCCATCATTGACGCTCAAATAACCTTCTTTTAATATTCATCGCAATGGGGCGAATCCGTAGGAAAAATATTAATTAAATGGCTGCACGGCCAGCAGCTACAACTTTGCAGAACACGTTAGCTTGCACGTTGCACAATGCAGTGAAATTAATTTTGCAGTGAATATTAAAAAATACTCGAAACCGGCGTATCTTTTGTCTCGCGCTGAACAACAGTTTCACAGTTTCGTTGTTGCGGGAGCAATGATGTGTTGAATAACATTTCATGATTCATAGTTGGATTTTAACTACGAAGGAAGTTTCCTATACGTCGACGTGTATACAAGCATCTCTGCGGCAATGCTATGAATCTTTAAGTTTACTGCCAAAGCTGCTTTCAAGGAAAGCTATACTCGGCAAAATGATTTGTGTAAAAGTCGCATCCAAGAAGTTCATTAAATTGAATTATGATAGTTGTGCAAAAGATCTATTGTCGTTACTCAATTTGAGCAATGAATCAAGAATCTCACTGGAATGGCAGATCAAAATTATGTCATTTATAAACAATTAAATTACGATAGGAAAGGTCAACCAGATTTATTAAAATCATTTAGGCGACGTTTCGTTGGTTAACTAGATCGCTACTCAAATAGTTACAACGAATATACATTAGTAGAAAGAATACAATTGTTATTCGAAGCCTAATGAAGTTAGTAAATTAACTGGCGGAACGTCGCTTAAACATAATTTTAATTATCATTGCCGACTAGTTATCATCGATATTATTTCTACAAAGGTTCGTTAAATTCAGTATAAGAATATATTTAATTAGGTATCATAAAAAAAGTAAGAAAAAAGAAAGGAAATAAAGTGAAGCCACAAAAAAGACGGACGATAAATGGTGTACAGCACTACAACGTTTAAAAATCCGATGGCATTATATCATCAGAAATAAAATCTATCGGCGACTTATTTGGGAACTATCCATCGAATGATCAGGGATTGAAGTGATCCATCGTTTGCTTCTAGTGTCCAGTGGATAGAAACGCAATTAAATATTTCAATCGCACTCCCAATTCTCGATGAAATACGAGTTTCGACCAAATCGAGGTTCTATCGGTCCGCACGGTTTACGATTTTCGTTTTACTTTAAAACGTAGGATTGCACTCGGTTTACGTTTTTATCGGCTTCGAAGTGGATCGATGCCGTAGTCGATCCGAGCCTTTCTATGACGACGGCTACAGCTAGTTCGATGTGAAAAAAAAAGAGCTTTCAAATGTTTTCGACAACAGAGAGAATATCCGCTCGAAACTAGCCCACGTTGAAAAAAATAGCAATTTGATCTAGCAGCGAATGTCGATACAAGACTAATCGAGCGTCGGGCAGCGATAAATTGCAATATCGCATCGCTGCCGAAAGGAAGGCAGCGTGTCGGGAACGGGCCGCAGCTTAGACAGCGCTGTCGTGTAATAGGAATCCACGCGTATATCCCGGTCTATCGGGGCACATCATTTGCGGCGACTTTACGGCAACCTTTGCTGTACGGGCGGGCGTGTAAGTTTACCTTGGCCGCGATCGATTGCGCGCCTGTGCGCCACGAGAGCCCAGGCAATCAACACATCATCCACTTTGACGTCGCCGCGCGCTGGCAGTGTCCAGTTGCCCTCTCGTTCCGACTGCCGCTCGCTCGATAATTAACTCGCGTCGTTGAGCGCGTGTCGTTTCCCAACCGCGCAAATCGATCGCTCTCGCAACCTAAACTGTCCCAGAAGATACGCCGCGAGGGGCGCGACGAGGCCGCGAGCGCACACGAGCTTTCTACGTTCCTAAGTCACGAGCGCGGAACGTCAATCAAGTCGGAGGAGCTCGCAAATTTCCATTCGAACTCCGATCCGGAAGCCTTCAAACGATTAACCAACTTCTTTGGGCCGCGAGGTCGCGTTAGGCACTGTCGCTGTTAATCTCGGCTCGAAGCACGAAGCGAATTTCTTTTTTCAATAAAGTTCGCGAGAAGAAAAGCTACGGAGCGTAACCGCTTTACGTCCACTGGAAGTTCGAGCGAGTCACGTTGAAACCGAGATAAGCTGGAAAAAAAGAGTGGTTCGAGAGGCTTGTTTTCCCTCCGGCAGTCAAAGCGCGCGGACACGCAAATGAGAAAAGGTGCCAGTTCTGAAATTTTATTTCGTGGCACGTAACACTCGAATCGGAGCCCGGGGAGACGCTTGAAAAAGCGCATTCGTTTGCGAGATGTTCATGTCCGGCGAAAACGAAACTCAAACGCGAGCTTAACAACCGGAAGTTTACCGGAGGGGAGGCATTCGCCGTCTTAAATGCTTTTCACTCGAAACCCCGTTACATTCAATAGGACGTATTTCAAGTGAGCCGAAGAATGGATAATTACTTCGAGGAAGTTGGCACTTTGCGCGCCTCGCAATTTACCGGCTATTCGCGTTTCTAATATTCCAGGGCACACACCTTTCCATGCCAGCGCTTTGCAACAGAAGCGAATACGAATTTTCAGCTGCCAGTCTACTTCCGAAACATCGAAGATTCGACTAACAAGCTTGCACGGCTGTAGTCGAGTTTTCGAATAAACCTTCTTATGGTTGTGTCAGCGGCGGCCGCATGAGCGAACGGCTAAACCGACCGCGACGCCAACAAACTTAAGTCTTTATGTCACGTTGCGTCGTTTACGACATTCGGCCGCGACTTCAGCTCGAGCTCTGAATCCAGCCTCGGTGATTTTTCAGTCTCCGCGTACGCGCAGTTTTAACAAAGGCATTGTCTGCTATATACGCGACGTGATTTGCGAGGCCACGTCGTCACTTATTGGAAGTGCACTCTCCGTGAAAGCTCATCGGCATTCGATCTGTAATCAGTGTTAGAAGAAATCGATGCTGCCCTTCGTTCGCTCGTAAACTCAACGAATTAAGTTATCAGCCGGTTCTATTAAATTCTATACGATCGATGATTGTCCTTACAGTTTCGAGCGAAAAAAAAACACAAGATTTTTTATTGTCGAATACTTCCATACTTCCACTCAATGGACGAGAATTTCAATTGTTTCTTTTTGTTCTCACGTTTTCACATTTCACATTTTCAGATTCTTCCGTGTATTTACAAAACGGATCAGCGCTATCCAGTTAAGTTATTAATTCAGCTTTTATTCCCATCATAGACAAGCCTTTCTCTTTACACAATTCTTTTAATGTAGTTGCTCTCGGCATAGATGGATCCATGTTAACAATATAGTCGCGTAATATTTTTTTCAGTTATTCTCACTATTTCTCTTCAAATCATCGCACATTATTCAATTGATCTTGATACCTTAGGGCAATCTGGACGAGAGAAAAAAAATGATCTAATGACACTGCTAAAATCTGTAAGGTTCTTCTCCTTATGCGCCCAATTGTATAAGTTGCAAAGGTTTTTTTAAGGAATAAAAAACACAACCTAATTAACCACACACGTCTTTTACATTTTTCTCTTTTTTTTCAATCTAATCTTAACTTTTCATATAATGTCTCAATTGTTCTCAATTGTCTTAAGGGGATATCGTACTTCTGATTTATGATGAACGACCTCCGATGATTTAAGGAGAAAATATGCGCCGAAGAAAAAGTTGGTAAAATAGAGGTATAACATCCCTTTAAAATTCAACGCACTTGTTTCGTATACTTGAGCATCGAACTCTGCAACTTTATCAGGTTATTGGACATTTTTAAAAGCTTTTTCATCAAATCGAATAGCATGTCCTCGAAACTTTAATAACCTCTTACATGGTTAATTCCACATCACTGCAATTGCGATAAGTTTTTTTGATTAATTAAAAAAAAATAATAATATTAAGCAAAGAAAGCGCGCCCTGGAAATTTATCGCTTTTCTATTCAATGAATCAGTATAGTGCAACATAATCGAGCAACTCACCTCAATTGGTATGGTGAAGAAAGCGACGAGCAGGTCAGCGATAGACAGATGGCATATCATCAGCGAGATCCTAGATTTGCGATATCTACCACGTGAAAGTGTCAAGAAGACAGTTAGATTGCCGATCGAAGCGATGAGAAAGCAGGCGGAGTAGACTATGACGATAATCAGCGTCTGCTCGGTGAAAACCATCGCAGATGGTAGAGCTAGCGCTGAACCATTGGCACTGTCGTCGCTGTAGCCGGGAGCGAAGTCGCTCCCATTCCGGAACTCATTGTGGCTTAAACGGGCGGGAAAAGAAAGAACGCCTCGTTCGTTAGTTGCGCCAGGTGAAATGTTTTAGTTGGATGTGCGCCTTGGCGTGTATTGCGCGGTTTTTTCCTCAAGATGTATGCTTTACACGTGTGGTCTTTTCAATGTTGAAATTGAAATTTAGCAGCATATTTTATCAACGAAACTGCCAACGGATGAGCTTTTTCCCGATGATTGGCTCGTTCCTGCGATTGACATGGAGTAAACGTTCCGAACATTTTTCATTCGAACTTTAGCAAACTCCGTGGATGAATAGTAGGATTCGATTAATTTTGTATTCAAAATAATATTAAATTAAACTTATTCAAAATTAATATAGGCTGCAAATCTCATAATATTTTTCTAATTGTTTATAAAAATCACAACAACTACTATTTACTTTCTCCGACTATTCTCTAAGGCCGTTGATATTAATTTTTTTTTCACATTTTTTAGTTATACCTATAATCGTTGAATATAGTTGAATCTTACGGTAACTCACGGTTGGAAAATTCATAATAGACTATCGACGAGATAAGTATTGGAAATTTCAATAATAGAGTCGTCTCTTTCTTAAATAAATAAAAAACAACTACTTAATTTGCAAAACCAACTTTTTGCTGATTTCGTTTGTCAACCTCATTTGAGTTCCTTTTTATTAAACGAAAATAAATATTACAAATATTAAAAATTGTATAAAATCACGTCATACCCAAAAAGTTACAAGCAAACCAAAAAGGGAACATGTATGAAGTCATGAACAAAAATCATTGCGCATGAATGCTCACAACGGATATAAAATTATACAAAAATTAAATAGATCAAGAGAAATTAAATTTGTAAATTTCCCTCTCCTGATTATTTTGAGATCAACAGTTATTCTACATAATACGTTATGCACAGTTGACTATACAATGTCTGTACAATGACTGCGGTGTACATGAAATATGACAACATTACGCGAGTAATCAACACGTATAGATATCCCATTAAGCATTCAAATTATTAAGACCATATGAACCATTATAGATGTTTTTAATAAAATTATTTATTTAAAGTTTTGTAGTGACTATTTAAAAATTGTGTATCTTGTTTGACATTTATTGTATCATTAATCGAATTAATGTCTAACATCTCCAAAGTACGTATTTTTTGTAAATTATGTTCCCTGTCTAAAATATATACACCTTGAAAAATTAAACGAATGTCCTGGATTATCATATATATGTTTTGGTACTGGAAGAACCTCATGTTGATCATTGATTAATTTTTCTAATTAATTATAGATTTGATATTTCATAATTTAATTAAAATATCTATTAATTAATTAATCGTCTAGTTATTTTTTTTATAATTTTGGATACATTATGAACATTTTGCGTAGTTATTTTTGTTTACGACTTAATTATACATATTCCCTTTTTGGTTTATTTGTAACTTTTTTGGTATGGTAAGGATTTTACACAATTTATAATATTTGTAATATTTATTTTTGTTTAATAAAAAGGAATCCAACTGGGGCTGGCAAACATAATCAACGAAACATAGATTTTGCAAATCAGCTAGTTGTTTCGTATTTATTTGCGGAAGGAATGACTCTCTGTTATCGAAATTTTCAATACTTACTAAGATATCATGGAGAGTGAAAATGAATGTAATTACCGATGAGGTAATCAAACTTTACCAGATTCCGTATGGCTTTAGCCTATCGTACAATGAATTTGCGACACCAAGAAAAACAAGCTCCTCGAAAGCATTGCTTTCCACCAAATGGAAACGAAATTAAAATATACCTGCTGAACTCCTGCATAATTTGTATTCTCGGTTGCAACTGTTCCATATCCATGCAATCACAAGCAGTTCGCAACTTAAGTAACGTCTTCGCGCAACCGAACGTCGAACCAAAACGAAGTCACAATCGTCATTTCATTCCTGCTGTGAAGATCTGTCATAGCTATGTGCCGAGTGAATTGTGCACAGACTCGCGTGGCAAGTTTTATCGGAGCGAGGCTCGCGTCGCGTAGCAGACTGCAGCTGCCGGTCCTGGAGTCGATGGTGCTCCGATGCACTCGGCGAACAGAGCGCAAGCTCCGCGCAAGCTCTCCCACCTCCTGTTCGCGCGTACATCGCGACGCGAATCAGCTTGTGCGCTCTTTCGAGTGACGAGTCTTCTTATTTGATTGGATTTTTTTACGCAGTTTCAATGGGTTTACAGCTGAACGTGTTTCGTAACGCTCGCGCGGAAGTTCCATTGTGCGCTTCTAGGGAATAACGGGAAGAACTGACGCGTGCACATTTTTCTTGTCGTTCATTTATTGGAAAATAAAACAAGTACAAGTTATGTAAATTACTCGCCGCCATTGATTATATTACAGATTCCAAGCGGAAGCTGGCTAATTTTGATAATTATGTCGCACCAAGTCCAACTCCAGTGTTCCGAGCTGGCAATTTGCCTAGTCTTAATGAGACGACTTGTTGATTAACGTTTCTTTCTATTGTAATAAACTCTTTCGCTAGCGTGCTAAAGTGCATTTTTTTTTATGTGATGCGCGTCAAATACATCTGTAAACTCATTAAATAATAACCCGTTCGACTTGTTTGAAAAAAAAAAAAAAAAAAAATTCTGTCATAAATGACGATACGGTAAGAGCATGCGAGAGCAAAACGAGGCAGATGCGCCACTTTTCATTAAAACGGAATAGCTGGAAAACCGTTTTCGTCGAATGTTTATTTGCGCCATAGTGCATGCTCGATCGACTCTCGACGCGTAAGGATGCATTTGACGACACTTTTCCTCTCCGCTCTTGCGAGATGCATAGCTATTAAATTCAGAAAAAACAATTTGCCTTCTCGGTAAACTCTCCTCATTAGCATGTACGTTCCTCGAGGTGAGCAACTGTGTAATTTCGAAGCTCGTTAACTTAATTAAATGGCCGAGCTACGCGTTTCATTCAGCGGAACATCAAAATCGCCCTGTAATTCGCAAACATTCAAGTTTATCGTGTAAGTCGTAGTCCCGAGTATCTCGAATGTTTCGATCGTAGGTAACTTGCCACAACCAGCCTCTTGGACCTCCTTCACTTTCGACAACGCCAAGTTCCCGTTGGAATAGCTGATCAAGAGGAACTCGCCCGTCGACGCATCGTCGCCGAAGTAGACTCGGCCCGTAGCTTGGCAGACGCTCGACAAGTCGCAGATCGGATTGGCCACAAGGCTCAAATTCCTCGATGAGGTTGTCGCGCTGCTGTCGGCCGCTCCCTGCGAATGCGAATAAGCGTCAGTTCGGTGCGCGTCGGCTCGAGAGTTCTCTGGCCCTTTTCGCAATGCCCAAACGCTCGCGTTATGTATACGTCTACAATCCCCTCGCGCAGCTTCACGGCAGTCGAAGCCGCGCCGAGAGCGCTCTTAATTAAGTGTGAATCGAATCACGCCGTCCTCTTTTCGCGCTCCGTTATTTGTTTCTTGAATAAAGCGCAGACCGAAGTCGATCGACGCAAAATGTGATTTTATACCGAATGGAATGGACGACACGGATGCAATTTCAAATAAAAATTAAAATCAGCTTCGAAGTAAAATCAAATTTCTCACTATGGTTTGCAATTGTTGCTACAGTCTTATTAATATATTTCGAAATACAAGTCCATTGAACGATTCCTGAGACTGAATTATTTGAAGTCATTCATAATTGACGATAAAAAACATTACGATAGCCTTATTCGTATTTTTCATTAACGGTAAACTTACTTCAGGAGAATACCAAAGATAACGTTATTCCTTGATCGATTTGTACATAAAAAAATGCTTAATCTCGCTAGGGTTATAGAGACATTTTTAATTGAATAAAGGGCTATTTACGTTATTTTGAAATTCCAATCGTCGACCAAATAAAAATCTTTCGTATATTTTTAGCAATCACAATTATTTATCAAAAGTATCGAATGACTATCGTTACTTCTTAATGACAATTTCAAATAAAGGTGCGTAATTCGCCTCTGGGAAAAACAAAAAATTCGCTCTAAGACCAACAATCGTAATCCGAGAATAGCGATGATATCGACGCGTTATATCGCTGCATGTGCTATTTTGACAATAAAGACGATAAAGACTTTTGGCTGCTCGTTATTGAAATTCTACAGTATTAGCCGTCTATGTCTATCGCACGCTAGTTGGCATTAATACTATTCAAAATAGATGATGCTCTATGCTGCCATGCGCTTTCTAAAGGAAATTCACCAGAACCAGTGAATCCCGTGGATTTTCATTGTTAGATAAATATTGTACTCGATAAAATGCTTTTCCCGAATAAAGTATGCATTAACGTGTCACTTTTACTTTATATATTTTTCCAAATTATCAATAATAACGATCGTAGAGGAGTTTAGCTGAAAAAGTGGCCACCTAACATTCAATGTTTGTTCACAGATGAAGCGTAGAGAAGTTCTGCTATAAACATAATTAACAAAAGCCTAGACAGCGTAGTTATCGTCTATTATTACGAACGTTTTACTTTAAGAGTTGAAGCCTGCAAGTTAATGATTTCAGCATAACAATGGCATGCAATTGTAAGTTATTTCGCATTTACTGCTAAAGTGATTATTCGTTTATTTTCATCAAGACTGTTGGAAGATAATTAGTAACTTTTCTGTTAGGTGATCTATTTGTACATGCTCATTAGTAAGTTTCCCATGTACACTAAAAAGTTTTAATTGCGTTTCATATTTAAAGTTTGACCGCTTTTTTTATCGCGCAATATTTAATATCAAGTAGTATTAAAAAGGACGGTTTACTTGTTTTATTATGGAATAGAATTGTTTAAAAAAATGTTATAGTGCCAGCGCAAATAAATTATATTCTTCCAAGTACCGCAAACACAGGTACTTTTTAATTTGCCACCACTGTTACTGTTACCCCCGTCGAATTATAATTTATTCATGTTTTATTCAGATTGGTTGAATCAAATAAAAAATAAGTTTAAAATGAAGTGAAAAACTTCTATTTTTTTTTTAATCTGACAATAATGCAAATTGGAAATCTGTCTAAATAAATCGTGACCTTTCGTCACGATGAAATTTCCTATAGATTTTGTTTTGTTGCCATTTTGTTTCGTCATCGGGATTCCATTTACGCGTGTCTACAACTAAATTAAGAGCGGAAATTCCGTTTCGAGCTTCCTCTTTCCTACTCCTATAAATTTAGTATTGATTAATATTTTCAAAAAAACACACGTAACGGTGGAGCAAACAAATTTCATGATTAAACTTCCAAGTAAATCCATTCGAACTGTAAGTATCGTATCGTACAAAAAATCAGCTTACAGTTTTACTCGAACGAAATCTTTCCACTTCATTGAATCGAAGCAGGTTATTGTTCAATTCTCTTACCTTATGAACTGGAATAATACGACCAGGCCGAACGAGTAGAGCAACTTTGCCCATCGGAACGGTCACAGGGATGCTGCTGCCGTTGATTGAAGGCCCAACAGGCGAACCACCTTGCATATGCCTCCACGGATGCTCACTCGGTAACCACATTGGCACTTGATAGTGACGAGGTAGCAACACGAGACCTGACATCAAAACATTTATAAGCTCTCGATAAATAAGAATCCTGCGAACAATGGCGTCAAACGCGAAAATCAGTTCTCGATTACCGTTTTGAAGGATTTATCGGACGAGTTGTCGCACAAAGAACACGAAACGCGTCGTGCGTATATATCTCATTGTAGATTTAAACGTCGCGAAATTTAGAGCTTATTTTTTGTTTGTGCTTATACACAATCTATTTATTCGTGAGGTCTTGATTCGATCACGTGCGTAGCTATTGTTCATTGATATCAGACAAGGATTATCGTTTGCCATTGAAATGTTTAATAAATGCCCGTCAAAATTGCACATCGGATGGATTCATCACTGTTAATGTTTACGAAAGAGCTTTTTCCAAACATCAAATATTCGCAGTGGGTTATTATTCTGTTAATCGTACACATATTCAATGGCATTCAAGTCCGAATCAGCGTAACAATAGTCTTCGTCAGACACTGCTCGATCCGCAACATGCCATCACAGTGATCGAGATTGCAGTGTCGTATATGCGCGAGAATTGCCGTTTGTTGATCTTGCAAGGAATGTCGACCATCAGCAAAGCTTCTTCACTATGTACTGATCAATTACTTTTGTTTCGATCTGAAAGTCTGTAGCATTTTTCATCGATCAAGATTTATCTCAATTACGTAATATTTTTATTGTCACAGTGGCAGATAAAACGAGGAAAAGAGCACGATTGTTGCGAGCCGAAAGCCAACTCACCAACGAGGATGCTGTCGCCCCAAAGGAACTGTGAGGCGCGTGGCGGCTGTCGGTCGTCGGGAAAATGAACGGCGGTGTCGGCAAGTATAGGCGAGCCGTCTTTGGCAAAGCTGGCCAGCGTTGTTCTGTGATACGTCGTCAGCGTGGCACGCAGTTTCAGGAGATTGGCCACTTGAATCGCACTGCTGCGGCTGAGTCGCGTGCCGACAAGAGGCGATTTTTCCGGCACTGCGAGGATTCTCGGCCACGCGACAGCTAGCGCGTACCACCTGAGACGTTTTAAGTGTTCTTCTTTGGTTTTTACAATTGGTGTGCACGTATCTTTTAGGCCAGTCACCGAATACAATGCGACTTGGTACTCTTCCGCGCTTCGACAAATATTTATGTACCTCGAAAAACCTGCTTTTTACGACAGCTAATAACTTTGGAGGCTCGCGTCAGTGTATTCAATGTATATGCAAAGCTGGCAACGAAAAGCTTTACTGTATACCTATTTTACTTTCAAATTAATCCTCGCGAGCTGAAATATATATCTGTATTAAGAAAGTGTCTCGCGTCATTTTCACGGATACGCATATGTTGACACAGACTCTGTCAGATACCATTGCTCTTCAACAAGTATGATTTGATTTCAGACTTTTCCGAATTTCGAGTGCTTACAATAAGAGTCAAATATCTCTGCTTTTGAAATATTCGTAAAACGGAATTTTCTTTCCCTCTTCACGAGTCTGCGTATTCCAGCGAGAGAACGGCTGAATGTCCATAACTGCCAAAATCTGAACGTTGGATGCAAATATCGATTGCGCCCCGCCAAAACTTGGCATCGTTGTTTGTTCGCTTGACTTTCGCCAAGATTGAAAGCAAACCATCGTGACCTATATTTTAAAAGGGATGAACTCTGAATCTTTTCACGACGAATATTTTACCTTCAATTTCGAACGGCTAATCAATACGATATTACAGAATGTGCGCGTAAGTCGAGAATTTGCTTTGAGTGCAAATGGACATCGACTGTAAATTCTCTTAGTGGTCGTAATTGATGAAAAAATTGCAGCATGCAATTTTTACGTACGCAAACCGCAGCATCGGCCTTGCGAAATCGCTTAACTTTTCGATTTGATTTGCGGGGAAATCGCGTCGACCCGAGGCTCTCGACTACTTTGCCTATTGGCCTGCTAGCCTGCGTCGCGCGGAAAAATATGCGACTCCGAGCTCACCTGACGCAAAGCTCGTCGTCGATCCTTGCTCGATTGGCCCCGCACACGTACATGGCGTTGGGCACTTGGGCCGTCATCGCCTCCAGCACTCCAGCCTCGAGGACGCCTCGCAGAGTCGACCAGGTAGCTTCGACGTCGGGCGAGTTGCATTCGTGGCCGCGCAGTTCCACGCCCGCGGCGCCCGCGAAGTCGGCGAAGCTCGGGGCGTAGGCGTTGTGGACGGTGTAGTGTCGGCCACGCTGCAGATCGAACGGCAACGTGCCGCTCGACATCAGACTGCGCAACTCCTTCGTTTGCGACGAGAGCGGGATCAAACTTTTAGAATATTCCTCGACGCTGCGCGGTGTCGCGATTAATATTCGCTCGCTGAAGCTCAGTCCGCGACTGCTCCAAGTTCGAGCTGCCGATGCTTGTCACTGAATCTCCGGAGTTATCGACAGCTCGCTGTCGAAACTTGGTCGTTCGCTGTGCAAATGTTTTGTTATGGAGATGGACAAACACGCGAAAATCGCGGTGAATCGTATTATTTACGGAGAAATGTTACGGCAATAGGAAAATTATGAGAGCGAGGTATGTCGTGATCCGCATGAATGAAAGAAGTGCAATGACAGAAATTGGACAGCGGAGTGTTGCACACTCGGATCGATTGGATATATCCATATTGAAACTCGCCGTGAAGCAATCTTCGTTCGAATTGCAAATGATCCTCCTATAATTCCAATTCAAATTGTCCTCCCATCGATCGCACCGTCCGTTATTCTCGCTCGCGGTAGATTGTATCGCAAACGACAGAAGCAGAATATCAGCTCGGTCGCGCGTTTGAGAAGTTTGAGAAAAGCTTCGCGCCGGGACTGCCGCTCGGCTCGGACGCACGTACCTCGGGTAAATAATCGAAGCTCTGGCCGGACACGCCGTGGGTCGCCTGGTCTCTCGGCCAAGCGTCCCTCGTCACGACGAAGCCCAACTGCAGCCGCTGCAGGTATTCTTCCAGATACTCGGCCGCCACTTGACGGGCTTTGCCTTCGGTCCAGTCGGGATACACAACGTCTCTCGCGTCGGAGGTGCCGACGTAGGTGCCGCCTGTCGCGTTGCCGAGCAAACACGACTCCTTCTCCAAGCTCGACTGCAGCGGACTGTCGGCTCTATTGACGAGCTGCAGCGCGCGCGCGAAAGGCAAGTTTTATTCGCGTGGAAGGAACTTGGATGGGCTTCCTCGAGCGCGCGCCGGCAATCGTCGGGAGAGAAAGAGATAGGAAAGCGGAGGCGGGATGCGCTTGTTTGCCACGCTCTTCGCTCTTAAAAGGATTCCATTTCCCAGTAGGGAGTAGGGATTCTCCGAGGCGGATCATCCGGCGCGTTATTATTTCGCCAGTGAGATCCGGGCGAGTCCTGGTCGCGAGCGCGCGATGCCTCGTCCCCGCGGGCGCCGTTCCTCTCTGCGATTCAATAAATGCGATCCGACGGGTAACGGGCGCGCACCTCGCTCGGCCGGAGCTCTTTGTCGAGCCGAGCTCGAGAAAGATAATATCTGGTTTAATCAGGCGGTACGAGACCGTCAAAGCTCCCGAGTGCAATCTCGCCGTCCGCGCGCGCATAAAAGAGATTGATAATCCGGAAATCGCAAGCAAGAGCCTCCGAGAGGCTGCTGGCTGCCCGCGGAACATGCAGCGAAGCGTCTCTCGCGAGGGACGGTGCGGCCCGTGAGTAATGCGCTCGTTACGTTTCATGCTGCGCCGTTACCATCGGAGTCAAGTGCGCGGCCAACGCTCTGGGCTCCAAAAGTCCTCGCGCCTCGGCGACCAGCCCGAGGTCCGCGTCTGGCTCGAGCGTCGGCCCGAGGTGCTGCCGACTGAGGCAGTGCGAATCCCACGGGGCACCGTGTCCAGCTTCCGTCGAGTTGAGTAACCTTTTCAACGAGTCCACGGCTGATTTCAGGCTGCCGTGGTTGTCCGGGCACAGCTGTAATCCGATACGGTCGACCGACAGTAGACGAGAGTGGTTGCGAGTGTCGCTGAGCTTTGCAATGGTTCGCGAGGCAGACGAGCCGCTGTAGAGATTTAATGTGAAACCGCTGTCGGGGATGGAGATACCTCGGACGATCACGAGGTTCGAGCCGTTTAACACCTGTATGCAAGCAATTCAAATTTCTCGTGAGATAGTACGTCGTGTACTAAGCAATGCAACTTGGTGAATAATATTTCTTCAGCTTCAAATCAGTTTTTTATAATCAACTTTTGCATTTAGCTAATATTTGTCCTTACTTTATCCTTAATTAACAACTTGTTTATTTAAAAATTTATTTTTTTACATTTTAATTGTTTGCCCGATTTCTTTATCAGAATACGGCAAGTTAAAAACATTCTTCGTATAATTAAAAAAATTAAGCATTTAATTTGAGGACAACCATTCTCACTTCAATTAAAATATTTTTATTATGAATACTATGAGATTGAAGCGTAGTACATAAAATTTCGTTCACAAATCAAGATTTTTTCTTCAAATTAAGAACAATGTTCTTAATTTAAAATCATAGTTTTTGAGTACAATAAATTTAATAACTCGTGTTGTCTTTAAATTAAATTAAATAAATATCTTTAATTAACTTTTTTGAAAAAAATGACATTTTTGTTCGTTCACTTTAGCGCCACTTAAACAACACATTTAATTCGCAACTTTTTCTCTAGAACGATCTGCAGGTGTCAAATCAATCAAGCTTCGAATAACAATCCAACACGACGACAGAACTAAGAGACAAAGACACTCACTTGAATTTCGATGGGAGCTTGATAATTAAGTTGGCAAGCGACGTTAGATCGAAGAGCAAGTAAGGCAGGCTTTATTGTTCGATTTTCATTGTTGTAAATCCAATTGGTCGTTCCGTTGAGCTGCAGGGCGCCGAGGCCTTGTAAGCTGCTGCCACTTGCCAAATATAACGTTAACTCCCAGTAATTATCCGTCATTATGAGGGGCCCGCGAGCTGTGCTAAAGACCAGCTCGTCTTCACCTCGCAGAATGCTCAAAGCGAAATGGGGCTCGTGGAGCAGCAGCTTCGTCGACGGGTCGTCGCCTGAATTGCATTACAAGAGGAGGCATTGCTTCATTAGTCTCGCTTATAGCCAATTTACTGTTATTTTGCGAATCTCAGAGGTTCGGTTGAGTTGTTGCCGCCTGTGCTGACAGAGCGTGTATCGATTTGAACGATGACGATTGTAATGACGCGACCTCATAACGATGTCAGCATTCGCGACGAATAATGCTTGAATCGCCGTGCTGAAGCGGACGATATCTGCAATCGGAATTCACTTGCAATAAATGAAAAATAACGATCGCGGCACGCCGAAGAAAATGCAAGTGTACGCGCATCGCTTCGTTAAATTCAAATTGGAGGGATTCGCAGTTTACGGACTTTTCAAAGTGTGTAAACGCGAGGCTACCATTAAGGAGTCCGCGGAGTAGATAACATCGTCAAAGCCCGAGTAACTCTCCGTAACGCGCAAGTACAGTCACTGTATACATTAGCAGCGCGGCTCAAAATACCTACTAAAGCGACAAACGACACATTCCTGGAATTCCATCTAACACAAGACTAAGCAAAACATCAATGTGCTCTCTTTTTCTTTGTAATTTGCATCCTTCAGCAGCTTGTATTTGTCTTTTAATTTGAAATTAACGAGACATAATTACTATGTGAATTCGCATTTTACTTGCTGAAATTCGACATTGTTCCCTTTGAGATCGGCTTCGTTAAATAATGCGCCGCAGCGCTCTTCGCTTACTCAAAGAGAACTCTGCAACGCGAGCCTTATTGCCGCGCGGCAGAAAGTCGAAAATATGTCCGTAATCAGCGAGCAGCTTCACACTCGGCGATGCGCCGGAGCTCTGAGCGGAGCCTCGTCGTTCCGGCTTCGCGCCCAGGACTATCCGAAAGTCGTTGCCGCCCACTCGACGCACGCTAAAGCCCAGACGACCTCGGGCTGGCTTACCCGCTGGGCTGAGCATTCTCGTGGCGGTCACGCTTCCCTCTGCGCAAAAGAGAATTGTTTCGGAAAATTTGGGGAAAGCGCTCGCGAATCGCTCGCGCGAAAGCGGACGAATCGATCGACCGCTGCTCGAATACCAGCAGGCGCGCCGGACAAAACAGCATCGATGACATAATTCCGCGGCGAACGCAGTCCAGGTCTGAAGAAACGCACGTAATCCGACATCTCGCGCGCTGAAACGATTTTTTGTTTGTCCGCAGACCGTAAAGAAAGGTGCTGCGCGAGCCGGTTGGATGGGTCACCGTGTGGCTGTTACATCAGGCGCGCGCCGCAATGGTCACGAGGAAAAGGGACGCTACGCTATAAAAGCTCTGGCGAGTCCACCGGTCGGCTGTCCGTCTACGGCCGAAGTAAAGCACACATCATGCACAAGTTCGCGACCGTTCTGGTTCTCATGACTGCTGCTGTAGCTGTTCAGGCTGGCGTCCTCCACTCCGAAGAATCGCCTCTTGGAATTTCCGGCTGGGAAATCCCCGTTAGCAAGGGATGGCAAGCTCCTGTGCACAAGGGATGGTCCTTGCCTATTATCGAGCCGATCAAAGTCATCAAAACTATCGAACCAATAAAGGTCATTAAAATTGAGAGTGGAGGATGGTCGACTGGTGGTAATCACGGTTGGGATGAACCTATCAAGGTTATTCAAATTAAAGATTCGGGATGGTCCTCCGGATGGTCGGTTGGTGGTGGTACCGGATGGGACAGCTGGTAGATCTCCGTTGCCTTTGTACATAATTATTTGTATATAATCTATCTTTCTTTTTCTTTTAATAAACTGTCATTTTTTTCCATTTTCAGAATGACTTATATATTGTATTCCTATCCCGCAATATTTTTAATAAGTATTGGCAACACAAACAACATTATTAACTGGTGCATGAATGCCCAATGAATTAAAAAATCGTAAGAATAAAAAATCCTTCCATTACTATACAAATGCTTCTTTCGTCGAAAAATCAGCCGGCAGAAAAGTAGAAATGATCATTTGATCTTGAAAAATTGAAAGAAAAGTGGAAAAATTGAAAGTTAATCAAAAACAAAAATCTATTAAAAAATCTTTCAATGATCCTTAGTATTTCCGAAAAACGAGATAATAGAGTAGAAAGTTTAATATGGTCGAGAGTAAAGTTTTACTTCGAAGCAGTATCTAGTAGAAATAATTTGATCTTTGGAAACTATAATGACAATATAGTATACACAAGTTCACTTTCATTGAAGAACGTCATACGTTGTATAAATATTACATGTTATACACTTTAAATATTTGTATAATAATGAAGCGGAAAATTTTTAGAAAATTATTCGTTTTAAGCTGGTAAATTGAGTGATAACTTGCAATTTATTTAATTCGCATTGCTTAATACTTAATCATCGGTATTTTTATATTTTTTTTTTTAGATTCCCAAGCACGTTCAACAAAAAATTTCAATAACAAGCATTTGACTACAGAAGTATTCTTGTCATAAAATTTAATAGACAAATTTCGGACATCAGTTAAGCGTATTTTGAAAATATATATTTTCAAATATACTCGATTTCACCTCGTGTAATAATCATATTTTTGTGTGTATAATAAAAGAACTTTGATTATATTGAATACTAAAATGCAAAATTCTCTTTAGAAAGGAATGTTTCAAATTCACATTTGCTAAACTTTTCGAGCTTTAACAGAAATTCTATTCACAGATATATTCCAGATGAAAAAAGGAAAAGTTTTAAATATTTAAAAACATCAATTTTGACTGATGCAAAACTTTCTTCGATATTTCATCGTTGAAAGTAAAATAAATTCGAAATTTTGTATATCTAATTTCATTGAAAATGAGACATGAGGTGACATGACCAGCAAAAATAAAGCAGAAATTAAAAATGTTCAGTCTTCAGCGAAAACAATTGTACACTAATCCGAATACGTTTATCATTCATTACCTAAACCATCTGATGTCCACTGATATTCATCCACCTTATATCCGTATCTCGAAGGAAAGGAGTGATAACAGATTCTCATGTCTTCTCTCCAGCAGCACCCAAGTTTGAGACAATCATCTTTTGGGATTATCTGTCTATCAGGAAGGCAAGACACGTAATAACTCGGCTGCAAATGGCATGTTGCTTGACTGTCTGCGTCTCCGAGTGGCAACCAGGTGAGCAGTCCGAAGTAAGTGAAAGTTAGGATTAGCAGCACAACGAGGAAACTTGGTAGCACGTACTTGACAAACGGAGACGTGTAGAAACAGTCGTTGCAATTTGCTGCGGATCATTGAAATTCGGATGTATTACGTGCACGTATTAGTATAATGAATCCATAGTAAAGTAGCACATGTTCGCGCGGTTTAGATTGAAGATTAAACAAGAAAATTATTGAAATATGACACTTGTGTCGCCTATACATTAATAGTTACTGTACATATTGTATAATAAAAACAACATTTTATTTACATTGCATTTATGAAGTTTCCATTAAGATCTGTGCCAAGCGTTCTTAACGGATTCATTTACAGCACAGTTTAAAGATCAGTGATTTTACTATTAACGGAAAATAATAATTAAATAATTTCAAACACGATCTTTGAACATCATTAATGAAAATACTTTTGGTTATGCATTTTGAAATACCGGCCTTACCTGTTTTTTTCTTATTCAAAAGCCAAATCGAATCTTTATATTTTCCAAACTCCATGTCGAACACTAATACTGCATTTAAACGTTACATTCTGCAAGTACAGTTGCCTATCTACTAATAGTCCCAAAATAAAAAATAATATTAATCTTTAGATACTGACAATCGATAAGATAAATTATATTGCACTGTCGTCCGCTGTCGTCGTTGCTTTAAAATAAAGAGTAACTCGGGTAAATTAAAAGCGAGTATTTATGTTTATTAACCATTTAAAATCAAAAGCAATTATCGATCGTTTACGTAATTCATTTTGAAGCCACCAATTTTCAAAAATAATAGGTCAATCTGAATAATTCGGTTTTACTTGAGTATCAATAATTGAATATTTTAGTAAAATACCTGAGCTTTTCTGTATTCAATTAATGTTTTATTAAAAAAAAGGAACACACATACATACTTCTACAACTGTGCAGAACGCCAGAACATTGTAAAACTGGAGTTGATGACCTAGGAAGCCATAAGGAAACCAATCATAACATATATATTATTGCTGCTGTGTATATACAAAAGATTTCAAAAGTAACATTATCAGCTTTAATTATTAATTGTAAGTCACCGGATGCCATAATACTAATAAGTTTTTATCAAAAAATCATGCAAATTACTTAACTGAAGTGAGTATATTGCAGGATATCATTCTGTGAAAAATATTTTTTTGAAACTTTTGTTTGAAAAGTTATAAATGTAATAAACAAAAATTTTGTGATTTTTATTTGTGGCTTTGGAAAATATTTTTCAAAAGTGACAAACATACTGTAAAAGATTAATTTTCGCAAAATTATCAAATTCATGGAAAATTTCGTATAAACAGGAAAGCTGCAGGCTACGAAATTATAGTTCTGGTTGAAAAATTGTGCTGATATATAAGGTCACCTGTTTATTGCGAGATAGCAATGTCTTTCTTGTACAGCAAATAAGCAACCATACAGGCGCTTTTTGGTTATATAGACCAGTTGACTAATACGTATTTCAGTTAATAGAAAAATTATCGTTTCTTTCTATGCTAACCGTTGTATCTTATATTTTATTGAAATCGGTATTTCAATTGATATACTTTTGTAGCTGATCCGTAAATTTACTGTGGTTTAGAAAAAAATATGTTAATTTAAAAATTGTTTTGCAGTAAACGTTCAACCATTTCAACTATAAGTTCTTCTTCGTTGGAAAATTCAATATAGCTTTGATAGATTCTATAATGTTACAAAAAAGAAATAGAAACATTCCTTGAATACTTCAAAAGTGAGAAAAGCTATAAAAACAAATTAAAAGCGAAATTCTAATTTGAAACCTCCTTGAGCATAATTTAATAAAGTGAGGTACCAACTGCACAAGAAAGTTTAATATGGGTAAGAATAAAGTTTTATTTTGGAAAAGTACGAAGGTACATAATAAAATTGGTTCTTCGTTTGATAGTATATTATGAAACGTATTTACTTTTATGAGAAAGAACATTTATGTTTTACTTAAGACCTGCATATTATAAAATATAAATATTTACTTTAAAAAAATTTTATTGAAATTGCTTGCTTCGAAAAAATAGAATTATCAATTGGCAAAAACAAGGTTAAAATAAATTAAAGTTGAAATTCTAATTGGGAACCGGTTTGAACATATTTTAGTGAAACAAAACACCAACTGTATAAGAAAGTTTAATATCGATAGGAGTTGTTTTACTTTGAAAAAGTATACAAATACGTTGATACTGAGATGCAGTGGTTGTCCTTCTAGTAATATATTACAAAATTGATTTACGTTCATTAGAAATAAAATAACGGGACTATAATTATATGAATACTGCGGATCATAAAATATAAACATTTATTGAAATAAAGCCTGATTGAAATTACTCGCTTTCAAAAAGTACAATTTTAAACGCTTAATATAACTGAAATTTAATTGCGAATGTTGTGTACTCTCAAAGTATTTTAGTTTGCTGGACAATACATACCAAGATTATTTTTATCATTATCATCATCATTATTTAAAAATTAAATGGTCGTTCGGTCAAAATAAAAGCCAATATCGTTACGTTCGTTAGTTATTTATTTGTCAAAATAAAACTTATTGCTGATGATTCATCCTTGAGTTTCTGACATTTGCTGTCGCATCAAAAGTTAATGAGCCAACAATGAATTATTAAAAAAAACGTATCTGATTAAAATTAATTCACTTACAGGCAGGTTACTGACTACTTTGTTCATTATATCGTGTGCTGCGCGCTGGGCCATTTCCGCTGCTTGTCTAGCTGCATTTATTGGAGCTTGGAAAATTGGAGGAAAGGTAACTTGGCGTGTTTCCTACGGTAAGAAATGCTTACTTAGCTAACTTCATTGATTCCAAACACAGTTTTGGAAAAATCAGTTAACAAGTGACTTACGCGAATGTATTCCTTATTTTTCGCAGGAGAACACGAAGCAAGCTGGAAAATTGAAAAATTATATACTCGATATAAAAAAATTTTATTTTGTGAAAATCTACTCGTCTGTTAGTGCTTTGAAAATCGAATCATTTGTGAAAACGTCTATTTTTTTTATATTTAGTTGATATATTACAGTAATGGTATGAATATTACCGCAAACATGCAGACGCCAAGAAACACAGTTAACTCGAACATTTTTTAAGCTGAGTTAATATTATAGCTTCTGCAGATAATCTATAACTGAAAAGAAAGTTATCTGATCCTTACTTATATGTTATTGCTATATTGCGCAGAAAATCCTAGAACTATAATATAGTTTAATTACTGTAATTATCAAATTTATTTACTAGAAACAGTAAGGTTCAACATTTAAAAGCCATATTGTCAAAGTACTACTATTTAAACTCTATTTATGGTGTGACATAATGCTAAATCACAGGATATCCGCATAAAAATTTTTAATAATGTACGTCTGCGTAAAACCTGATTTTGGCTGCTGGCGCATTAAATTCTTGCTTTTGAGTAGTATACGTAAAATCATCAAATCTCATGCTCTGGTATTTATACTATTTCTTTTGCGTAATTCCTTTTGAATAATGTTAAACCACAGGATATGCGCATGAAAATTTTCGGTAATGTATGTCTGCGTAAAAACTGATTTTTACAGCTGACGCATGAAATTCTTGCTTTTGAGTGTTACATGTATATTCATCAAATCTCATAGTCGTTGGATAATCAATTTCGATCAATGTTAGTTATACCATTTCACATCACCTTATAAATTGTACTGACCAGCCATAGATCATATTTAAATAATAATAGAAAGTGTCCATTTTTCAGCAAAAAATTATTACCTATGAATTCATATTACTACGTAAGGGAAATATATGGGAAATAGTAAGTTTATTATACACGAATTAAAGATGAAGTCTATTATACTTTAACAGACTTTTAATAATTTTAACCTAATCTCGCAATTGGCTCTAACGAACATGATCTTAAAAATGGCTAAAGTGGATGTGTGCAAAAAAGACCTACAGCTTCTTTTTTCACTTTTTGCAGCCAATTTTATGAGTCAGAATTTCTTTACTGTAGCAATTTTCAACTTTAATTATAATAAGGATTAGACATCACAAAAAAGTTACCTTCGAGGGATGAGTAAACCTCAAAAGTAGTTTATTTACTCTACGCCAAATACATCACAACAGGTCAGTGATAAGGCAGAAAGTAATTTTGAAAGCTATAGTCTCGAAATATTCATAGTGATACTAGCAAATTACTAATTGCATAAGACATTGATCCTTATAATAGAATTAGTTATTACGTATATAACAAATAAACTGAGGAAGTCTATGAGAATATGGAAGATCGTAATTTTAGTCATTTTTTTATTCTTATAAGTTTATTTGCGCTCTCATTAAGTAAAATAAAAATTCAAAACACATTGTTTAAGAATAATTTATTTTTAAAAATAATAATCGGACACCATTCCTCCCTGATTCGAATTATCCTGATTGGGCTTCATACATATGGGATATGTTGTCTGTGCACGTAATGAAATTGCGAACTCTGTTCAGGTGCGTCGTGCAATCATTTTTTATTCACTTACAACTATATATCCACTGCTGACGCTGCTCACTTGATCCCGTACTTGTTCCAGCATTGGCATTAAGTACATTCATTAAATTTCATAAAATTGGGTGAAATAAAAAATTGAACAGTTTTGTTCTCACTCGTTTATTGATCGAAGTAATATTCAAGATTAGAAATCTGCATTGACTATCCTTGGAATCCATTCAACGGCAATTGCTATCATTCGAAACGGGTTATCACAATGTAAATCTTATCAGCAATTATTTGGAGCAGCAATTATTTTTAATTCACTCACCAGTATGTTTTTGCCAACATCGCTCACTTTGTCCCATATTTGTCCCGCTACGTGCTGTGCCACTCCCGTTGCCATTCTAAGTACAGTCAACGAAGTTTGTAAAATTGGAGGCTTGTTAGATTCATGCTTCTCCTGTTGTATGAAATTTTCGCCAAATCCTTAATATGCTTTTCCAACGTCGACATTAATGTTACTTACTTTAGTGGTTTTCGAAGTATCCAAGGGCTCGCAAACGACAAGCTGAAAAATATAAATAGGCGGCGTGCTCTTATTTATTTTTCACGAAGTATATAGAGCCGTGTTAGAATATAGATGCTGTAGAAAATACATCTGCACCTGTATAAATATATAGAATGTAACGAACGAAGCCAGATTGGACATTTTCAAGATCACAGATCCTGATGCTTCTGTTGCCAGTCAAAAACTGAGCTCGCGAGGATGCCGAGCTTTATGCAATCATTACTAAAAAATTGACAACAATGGCGTTTAGCTTTAATTACTACGAGAAACAGGATGTCGCGATTGTAAAAAGAACATCATTGTCAATGTAATTATGCAAGTATTTAACTCTGCGCGTGATGCATCAAACGATAACAGGCAATTCGTTCGTTCTTTCGACCGGAGCTATACGGTCCCGAAACTATAATCCTGCCGGCGAATGAAATTCTTCAAGATGATATTCATGAGCTACTCTTACACGAGACTTTGGTGTTTGCCGTGCACTTGAATTCTCAGCACCGGAATCCTTAATGAATGCGCTGAACTAGAAAATTTGCCTTTACGGCTGGTGACTTGTAATCAATATTTCAACAGTTTCTTTTATTTCATATGAAAGTAGCTCGTTATGGTTATTCACTTTTTTTAAATCGATCCGCAGCGATATCTTCTTCAAACGCGATATACGTAAAAAAACATTCATAATATCGGTTGCCGAAAAATAAACGTTACTGATTATGTACGCATAAACTGAAATATGAAGAGGCTATAAATAATTTATTCGATAAGTTTCTTGATTTATTATTCATTATTTAAACAATATAAAAAAATGTTGAATATTTTCTTCTTCTGTAATTTTGATTCATCGATTTCTGACGATCTGACGAAACCTGACCGTTACAACTTGCAAAACGTATATTTTTAATTGTTTGCACTGTGAACGAAGATGTGTTCCTACTTGAAAACAAAAATGTATGTAACTTGGAAATTATTCGGAATGAATGCATATTTGGTTATTAAAGTATTCAAAATTAATTTTGGGCTTGTGAATTGAAATTTAAAATAAATTAAACTAATATTAATGTGATAAATACTAATATTTATTTTTTAAGTATTTATAACAATTGAAATAAAGAAAATCAAAATGTCTTTCGAATTTTATTTCAAAATTATTGATTCATAATCATGGCACGCGAGCGCATGAAAGTATGACGTAAAAATGCGCAACACGATTTAGAAAGCGCGTGTTATACCTATACTCCTTTAAGTCCCGGCAATCTAACCTCAACGTTCGTACCTGGCGCCAGCCGTCCAACCATAAGTTTCTTGTAAAGAAGCTCGAAAGCTCTACATTTTGAGAATTATTGGCGCAGTCAGTAATAAAAGGCGAAATTTCGTCCTTCGTCGAGTGTTGTCGAGTCACAAATCCAAATCGGCTAGTAATGCTTTGCTACGAGAAAATCATCGTGCGGATGGATCAGCGACTATCAAACGTGTTTAGCGAACATCTTGCATTTTTGAAATTTCATAGAGTGAAATAGTATTGTAGTTGATTTTTTAGTTATCAATTTCGAGACTTTTTAGTTTGTTTATTGTGCATTTTTATTTTACACAAGTTGTCATTGTTGTGAAGGTCACATATTTGATTTTACTCAGAAATCATTAAAATATTGGTGAGTTCATGAAATATATTGTCAATAAAATTAACAAGTTTTAATATTCTATCACGCTGAATTACAGGTTATTTGTTTTAATACTGAGTCTTACAAGACCATACAAAAATGAGGGCCTTAGATTTAGACAAGTTTCAAAAACTACAAAGTGTTCCTGATAAAATTAGGAATATATGTATTCTAGCTCATGTAGATCATGGAAAAACGACTTTAGCTGATTCCTTGGTAGCAAGTAATGGAATAATTTCTAATAAATTGGCTGGTAAGCTACGCTATCTTGACAGTCGTCCAGATGAGCAGTTGCGTGGCATAACAATGAAATCAAGCCTTATAACATTATATCACATCTATAATGATTCAGAGTATATCGTGAATCTTATAGATTCTCCTGGGCATGTAGATTTTGCATCTGAAGTATCAACTGCTGTAAGATTATGTGATGGTGCAATAATTGTAGTAGATGCAGTAGAGGGTGTTTGTCCTCAGACAAGGAGTGCTTTGTTTATTGCTTATATCGAGGGTTTGAAACCATTTCTAGTCCTTAATAAAATTGATAGACTAATTATTGAGATGAAGTTGACACCTCTTGATGCTTATGTTCATTTGAATCAAGTTTTAGAGCAGGTGAATGCTGTTATGGGAGAATTATTTACTAGTGATGTTATGACCAGAGATGAAGAAAATGAAAATATTGTCACAAGTGACACAGATGATACAGCAGAGAGAAATATAGCTGACTGGCAATCGGCTCTAGAAGAAATTGATGATTCCAATTTGTATTTTTCACCAGATCAAGGCAATGTTTTGTTTGCTAGTGCTATTGATGGATGGGGATTCACTATCAAACACTTTGCAAAAATTTTTTCTGAAAAACTAGGTTTTAGTGAAAAGGTTTTATCCAAAACTCTATGGGGTGACTATTATTTAAATATGAAGAATAAGAGGATAATGAAAGGTGCACAAGAAAAAGCTAAGAAACCATTATGTGTTCAGCTTATATTGGAAAACATTTGGGCTTTATATGAAACAGTGGTTGTGAGAAAAGACAAAGACAAAGTGGTATCTATGGTGGAAAAATTGAATATCAAATTAACAACCAGAGACTTGAGACACAGTGACCCAAAAGCTCAGTTACATGCAATTTGCACACAGTGGTTGCCTCTGGCTAAAGCCTGTCTAGATATGACAAGCGAAAAAGTCCCACCTCCTCATAAATTATCCAATGAGAAAGTTGAACGATTAATTAGTGGCACAGTTGACTTTGCTACTATGTCTGATGAAACCCAACAGCTTAAAGAAGCCTTCTTGCAGTGTCGATCTGACAATGATGTACCTGTCATTATTTTCATTTCAAAAATGTTTCCTGTTGACAAAAGATCTTTACCAGAAAACAAACCAAAACCCTTATCTCAAGAAGAATTGATACAGAGAAAAAAATTTGCACGTCAGAGACATGCTGATAAAATGGAAAAGGATAAATTGGATGGAATCACAAGTCTTGACAATATAGAACGAGTATCTGCAAAAGAGAGTGAAGAAGTTATAGAGGAGAAAGAAGAAGAAGAATGTGATAATAGTTTAATTGCTTTTGCTAGAGTTTATTCAGGTACTTTAAGGGTTGGTCAAGAATTGTACGTTTTGGGTCCAAAGCATAATCCAAGAATAGCATTGGAAAGGCAAAAGGAAGGGGAAATCATAGATCCCAATTGGCAATTGAAAGACTTGAAAACTGGAATGCACATTACAAAAGTTACCATTTCCAAATTGTATCTTCTGATGGGTAGAGAATTAGAACCAATCACCAAAGTTCCTGCAGGGAATGTAGTAGGCATTGGTAATTTGGAGGATCACGTCTTGAAAACTGCAACATTGTCAACGACAATTGCTTGCCCTTCGTTTTCTGAATTAACCTCATTGGCAGTGCCAATACTCAGAGTAGCACTAGAGCCTAAGCATCCAAATGATTTGCAAAAATTAGTAAATGGCCTCAAACTTTTGAATCAAGCTGATGCTTGTGCCTCAGTTTCAATACAGGAAAATGGAGAAATTGTATTGAGTACAGCGGGTGAGGTCCATTTAGAAAGATGTTTAGAAGACTTGAAAGATAGGTATGCTAAAATAGAAATTAATGTATCAAAACCAATTGTATCGTTCAGGGAAACTATTGTACCTCAGCCAAAAGTTGATATGGTCAATGAAGTTATTGAAAAGAAGGCTGAAGAAGTCAATTTAGAAACTTTAACGTGGAACAATCAATGTTGCTTTGAAATTGATGCCAAACCACTGCCTGAAGAAGTTACGAAATTGTTAGAGAACAATGCCGAACTTATCAAAGAATGGGATAAACATCGTTCTGATTTGAGCAAAGAAAAAGAAGATACAAGTAATCCTCCTGATTTGTCAAAATTAAATTTAGAATCTTCAACATTGATTGAAAAGATACAGAAAAATCTGGAATCTTTTAAGAGCAAACTACTGGAAGCATTTGTTGCAGCAGGATGGGAATCTGATACACTAGATAAAATATGGTCATTTGGCCCTAGAAAATGCGGCCCCAATATCTTTTTGAATGAGAGCAGTTTTTCTGGAAAATCCTTTTGGAAGCCCCTTAGTAAATCGGTCGATCCTCGAGAGGCGTAAGTTATTAATTCATCAAAATTTGTGAAATTATTATTTTTTTTAGATTTATTAAAATTTGAATTAAAAATTGTAGGTACTACAACAGTATGGTCAACGGATTCCAATTAACTACTCTTTCCGGGCCTTTGTGCGAAGAACCGATGATGGGGGTTTGTTTTATCCTGAAAAAGTGGGAAATTCACGAAGATTTGCACAGGTTACACACTGAAATTTTAATTAAAAGTTTGAACAGATTAAATAATTAAACAATAATTCAATCGCGATAAAAATTACTATTCAAAGAATTTCGTTCAGTATCTTTATTAGATTTATGAGCAATGTAAGATAAAAGAAAAGTAAACATTACATAGAGACATTTATTGAATATTTGATCAGAACAACGCATGCACTCGTTATATAACCGATAAATTCTGACAATAGCCGATAAAATAAAAATTATAATTTATAGCGAATTAAAATTTTAAAAAGAAATAAAAAAATGTTTCTTTCGTGACACTTTGAAATTACAGTGAAAGCGGAAGTCAATCACAGAGTCATCTGGTCGGGCAGTTAATTTCAGCCTGCAACCAAGCATGTCGAAAAGCTTTTAGCGCTCGTAGGCCTCGACTTGTCACACCCATGTATTCCTGTAGCGTTTTAGTTAACTCCGATGTCCTGGGTAAGTCTTTTATAAAAGTGTGAGCTCTTCGTATAATCAAAAGAATTCATACTTTTTTGTCATAGTCGTTTATTGCTATAATATTTCATGAAAATGAATATTTACAAGTATATTGATACGCATAAACACTAGTATAGAAGAAAAGAGAGAGAATCACGTGTCTGGCTTCCTAAATAGATTGTAGATATAGCGATACAATTACAGTAAAAAAAATAAGTGGAGAAGACATGGCCTTTACCTATAATAAATAAGATTAAAGAAAACGCCGCTTAAATTCGCAACACCACGCATGTGGGGAAGTCGTGTATGGACGTTCCAGTTCAGTCAGTTGATCGTCATGTTAGCCCGGAGATCGGCTAACTGACAATTCGACTTAATCCAACCAATCACAATGACGCGGTTCCCAAAGACAAAAGAGAGAGTCGTAAGCTTGAGTATTGCGCGACGTCGATGACGATCGCCGCTTTAGTAGCGTTACATGGCAGTCCTGTCGCGATGAATATACCTTTTACCAGAAACGTAGGAAGAATCGACGTGGGGCTAATTTGAACACGGCACACAGCACCGAGCCGCGAAAGCTCTCGGCGCGTTCTCGCGAACGACAGGTGAATTTATCGGTTATCCTTTCGATCGGTGTTCAAAGTAGCCCCTGCCTCGTGGAAAATCGGTGCGTATCGACCGAACGAAAATTGCGACGCGCACTCGATCGAACGAGCTCTGATTGCTTGTCCTTCTGAAATTGACGGCTGCCATCGAAAGTGCTCGCGATTCAATTGTAATGACCGAGCTCGTATACGCCTTGAAAAAATGTGCTGTCCTCCAGAAAGAAACACGCGAAGAAGTACGCGCGCGCGCGAAAGTAACGCGTTATTATTTATAATGTAAGAATAGCTACGCGTACGTGGATACACACACACACATCTATATGTATATATTTGGAAAGGAGTGTGCGAAGCTTGAAAAATATATAAGAGATAGAGGCAAGAGAAGAATGAATGCTAAGTTATTCGACGCGAAGAGGCTCTTTTCCACGCCAATAAATTACTATTAAATAGAAGAATCGTCGGGTAGGCCATTCGAGAGAGTAGAGTAATAAGGCTGCGCGAGCGCCTCAGTCCCAGTTGGCCGTACTCATTAGTTCTGGCACCAGATGCCACGGGAAATGGCGCGGCTTCTCCTCGTCGCTCGGCAATCCTGCGAAAGAGGGGCAGAGGCGTTCGTCAGTATCGCCGCGAATTTGTATGCCATTTTGAAAGCGCCGCCTTACCGAGCACGCTGCGTACGTTGCGAAGCGGTCTGCCCCGTCTGCTGCCCTGCACGCACATCATGCCGTACACGCGGATTCCGGGCACGCTGGCGTACGTCGGCTGGTCGTGGCTCATCGGGCCCTCTGCAAAGCAGAATATTAGAGCGGTCTTTCGACATTGCCTCAAAACGCCGTTGGCCGTTAACTTCTCGGAAGCCTGATTTCCAGTTCATTGTTAGCACGTACGTGGAAATGTACCGCGATTGCTGTCGTCGAGTGTAGCATTAAATTTACACTGCTATACGCCAATGATAGAGTCCGGGATGTGTTTCTTTGAAGCGGTCCCGGGCGGAGAAGGAGAATTCGAGTTTTTTTTCGTCGTTTCTTTTTCCTTTTCGTGCGCGTGCAACGTGTCTCGTGCACAGCGACATCGAGAAAGCTCCCAAGGATAATGTCTAAATTACTTCAATTACGGAATTGTAGCTTCTGTGCCGCGAGGATGCGGTTTTTGCGCGTGCTCGAGACGAGAAACCAGTGGGATTTTCTTTTTTACTTTTCTTCTTGCTGGCGATTCGATGATTGGCCAGGAGGAAAATTACGCTAGTCGCTTTTTCGATATTGTTAACAGCCTACTCGGAAATTCGGATCGCGGCGAGCGGCCGGGATATCTATCGGGCGTCCATCGCGAGCCGCGCGCGATCGTATACAGTCAGTTGCTTCGCTTCTGTGCTAATCGAAGCGAGCGATTCGCACAGTGCCGTCTCATTACTCGGCGGTAATGCAATTTGCAGTCGACTGCCTCGCGACGATCCGCAATCCCGTTGATTTTGCGATGCTCGAAGCTGCGTTATCGCGCGTTTAGTGGGGACTCGCGCGTTCAAATAAACAATCGTTCGCGCGCTACACAGTCCTTCGTGTAACTGAAAATCAATGACGCTCGCGGTTACATACGTGCCGGATTCTTTCCTTTATTCCTCGCAATTGCAATGCGTTTGCATTTGCGATGGGAAAATTCTCCCTCCCTCTCTCTCTCTCTCTATCTCTCTCTTTCTTATTTCCTGTTATACTGTTATATGTTGAATTGATTCCCGGCGCGCCGTGAAGATAATACACAGCACTTACAAGAGCACGAATGCAGAATACGAAATAAAGAAACACATTCCGCGAAAGAGAGAGAGGGAGAGAGAGAGAGAGAGAGAGAGAGAGAGAGAGAGAGAGAGAGAGAGAGGAAGGGAGGGAGGAATCAACGTTTCGAATGTAGAACATTTCTATTGTTTCTCTCTCTCTCCACGGAATGATAAAAATTCATAGCGCAATAAAAGCAGCGCGACGAAAAAAAAAGCAACAGCGAGCAATAATATTTCAACTATAAGGAATCTGAATTCTATGGATATTCCGAGAAAGATGCCAGCTTACAAACTGCGCTCGCGCGAAGGCAAGTATGATGAAAGAAAGTCAAGCGAGGTCTTTTGTCTTGCGCGAGAAAATGCGTTTATTTATAAAAATGAAGAAAAAATATAAAAGTAAAAATGAAAAAACAGTTAGCACGGCGCGGAGCGAAGAAAAGAGGCAGGAGCGACGATAAATATTACAAGTCTCTTCTCTGCTCTCGTCATCGTTGAAAAGATTAACCGCTAGGTCGACTCGGCGATAAAAGGTTGTCCGCAGCTCGGACGATTAATCCGCGCGCGTGTATCGTACAAAAGAGCAGCCGCGGCGCCCGTTGACCATTGAAGCCCGATTAACGGACGCATCCATCACAACACAGGAGCCGCGGACGCCGCAGCATGGCGCAACGGGGGGTGGGCTACCGTCGCGGAACGAACCGATTGCCGGCCAAATTGTTTGCCTCGAGAGAAGCGCAATTCACAGCCGAATCATTCGTGGCGCATTATTCATGCGGCGGCGCGCTTCGGTCCGCGACGATAATTCAGGAGCCAGGGGACGGCACACAAGTGGAGGGTAGGCGTAGCCTGGCAGCGTAACTCACCGAGAATGTTGGAGTCGGGGCATCGGCAGATGACAAGATAGTGCGACTTGCCGGTGCGCACGTTTTGCAGGGCGAGCAGCGACCAGTCCCTGGGCGTTCTGCACTCGCGCATCTCGGCCACGGGCTCGCACGTCTTCACCAGCGTCAGCGCCTGCGAGCAGAGGGCCAGCACGTGGCGGCCGTTAGCGCAGATCCAGCGATGGGCACGGCGCTTCCGCGTCTCGCCTCGTTAGGATCGCGAGGGGCCACGGGATCGCCGGCGAGCGCGGCGCCGAGGCCCCCGGCGCCTGTCCCTTCGTTCCCGCCCTTGCGATCCGCTCCCAGCGGGACGCACTCGACTCGAGGTGTCGCCGAGCTCGGTGCCGACGCGCAATCAGTGTTACCTCCGCCGCGTTATGCAGTTACGAGTGAGACGCGCTCCCGAGGTTCCTCGGCTGCACGTGCGCGTCAACTGCTTGCACGCTGCTCGTTCGCGGGGTTCTCTCGCTCTCGCTGAAAGTGAGTGAGCCACTTTGTCACTTTGTCGCTTTGCTTTCCCGCTGCCTCCTCTCGCTGGTCCTCTCGCGACGGAGAAAACACACGCACGCGATGCAGAAAGAGAGAGAGAGAGAGAGAGAGAGAGAGAGAGAGAGAGAGAGAGAGAGAGAGGGAGGGAGAGAGAGAGAATTTAGCATTGAATGCCAGGCAGCCTCCCTGCCTCTGCGTAGCGCGCAACACGGCCGCTCGATTTTCATACAAAGGCTTCTTCGTTACGTTACGTATATATAAATTGTTTTGACAATGCTCGCGGGGCGCTCGCGCGCAGTGGCAAAAATTGCCGCGAACAGAGCCGTCGACGACGCGCGCTCACTTCTTCTTGGTCGTATGCATAACGGGCGTTTTGTCGGTGATTGCAGCGAGCGTAGACGAGATATCGGCCTCATTTCGCTCGAGCGAGTGCTTCTCTCTCTCTCTCTCTCCCTCTCTCTCTCACGTTACCAGAGCTCTCCCAACCGGCGAACGGTACCCAACTCTGTGCGATATTATTATGCTGTATATCCGATTCGATCCCACGCCTCTCCCCATCGATGCATGCCAATGCGCCGCCGCTTATCAATTTATTGGCAGAGAGAGCAGCTTAACTGTATAACGAGAGAGAGAGAAAGAGAGAAAGAGACAAATTAGCCGACGCGCATCTTGCTCGTTAATCATCGCGACGGCGGCAGCGGCATGAAGATGTCACCCTGGCGACGAGAGGCGTCGGAGTTTGCCACCCCGAGTACGCGGCGTCGCGCGCGCCTTTGTTCGCCGACTCCTCGGCTTTACGCGAGACAAGCCCCGAGCTCGCATTCAAGCACACGAGCCCCATGAGCGTGATCGACACGGATAAGCCGCGCGGTATCGGCCGTCGATCAACGCCGCAGCTCGGCGGAGGAAAGAAGAGAGGCGAGGCCCCGCAATCGCGCGCGCATAAATTAGCGCGGTGTGTCGCGGCGCGCGCGAATCAAGATGCGCGCTCGGACGCTGCCCCTCGCCCCGGGCAGCGAGATGCATCTGGGCGCGCGCACCGCCGCCTCTTCGTCGGCGCTCGCGGGCGCGGGCGCGACCGGTCCATCGGTCACGCGCGTCGCCGCGCAACCGAAATCGAGCGGCGCTCGCGTTACCTTGGTCCTGGAGTCGGTGACGAGCTCGGTGGTGTGCAGGTCGTCGCTGTCCAGCGAGGCGCTGCAGGGGTCCCGGTATCTGCCGGGGCAGGCGCACAGCGGCTGGGTGAAGTTGAGCCTCACGTAGACGGCGTTGCAGACCTGCTGCACGGCGCACTCGGGCAGCAGGTAGATGTGCTGGTTGTGCGGGTAGTAGTGGTACTTGGTGGGCTTGGCTAGGGCGGCGCTCGCGCCCTCCGGCAGTCGGACTCCCGTCTGCAACGCCGGATCGATCCAATGAGAATTATATGTGTACTCGCGCCTACGACTGTATGTTTGTGTGTGTACGTGTTGGACGTGGACAACCGTTAGGACGATTGCTTTATAGCCGGCTGGCCGTTGCCGTTGATGCAACTTTTCTGTCCCGTGGGAATTTAGAGGTCGCCGTGGAGCCGGCGTACATGGTAATTGGATCGTGTGCGTGAGCTTGCGAAAGAGATTCGCCGGGCAAAGGTTGCGGCGCCGTAGCGCGATCGTTCAAGTCTCCTCGGCGCGGAAAATAAAAGTGTCGTCGCGAAGCTCCAATCGAGCATTTACCGGTTTCCCGCAAGGTAGTCGAGATGGAAGGAAATCAAGCTCGGAATAGCATTGACCTAGATATGGAGGAAAGATGCGCACGCGAGTAGCGATCGAGTGGAGCAATGATGATCGCACGTACGATATTGAATTGACGAAGCGGAGACGAATAAAATAAATAGACACTGGAATCGTTATTTTAATAACGCACGAACGCAGCGCCGGCGATAAGAGTAATGTAGGCAACGAAAATTGCAAAGCCGAGGCAGAGAGACATAATTCAAGGCCCGTAGCTTTCTCCCTCACGTAGCCGGGGAATAATAATATCCTCTGGTGCACATGTACACACAAGGATTCTCCCGAGGAGAGCTTCCGGGTCGATCCGATTTCCTTGCTACTCCTCGCAATTTGCATTAGCATTCCTCCAAGCTAGCAGCAGCAGCGCAGAGAGAGAAAGAGAGAGAGAGAGAGAGAGAGAGAGAGAGAAAGAGAGAACTGCTCGTCCTTATTCACTTTCGGTGTTGGTGAACCCGGCGCGCGACTCGCTCACCGTAGCCAAGTGCGAGGACACGTGCCGATCGTGCGTGCGCCGACGGGGCTAGGGTTGACGCGCGTACGCCGCGATTTCGAAACCTCGGGAGGCTCAGCCGCAGAAGCGCGCCTAGTCGCGTTGCCAATCAAGACAATTTAATTTACGTGGAATTCCACGTTGTCCGTTCCGTGGACTGCGCGGAAGCTGTTAGCGCGATGCGCGCGAAGCCCTCGGAAGATTGGACTTATGTCCGCGGCTGCTCGTTGTGATTTACATTCGATTAAGTGCCCACCACTAGACTAAATGCCGTTTCCTCTTCGAGCCCGAAATTTCATGCCTTCGCGAATGCAGCTCCTTTCGAGCGCTAGCCATTCAAAAAAATGTGTCTCTGCTAAAGTGCTGCGATAATTCGGAAAAAGAAATCGTGACCGTAACCTAATAAAAGCAAGAATTACACGTTATAATTGAAATACTAAATCGATAAAAGCTAGCGGTAACGTCTCCCCAAGCCAATAACTCGTAACCCATAATAGTAAAAACTCGTATAACGCCGATAAAAGAGGAAAAGAGAGACGGAATTCCCTTGGCAAGAAGCACTTTAATCGCTTCGCTAAATCTCTCTCTTTCTTTCTCTTGTCGCTCATAAAACCCACCGTACTAATTGTTCTCGCGCCTCGCGCGACGACGGCAAATCAAAGCGCGAGTCGTCCCGACAAATCCCATGGGCAATGACACGCGCGCGCTTTTTCCCGCTAGCAGTCGCGGCGAAAGTGAACGCGCGTCGTTGTCTACCTCTTCTGATCTGCGCGCGGCGACTCTCTCACGACCTTGGCAATTACGCGCTGCGCTCGAGATTTATGAATTTCGAAAAGCGTCGACGCTTAATTAAGCGACTCGCGGTCCGGTAGAGACGCTTCTTTTGACGCGCACTCACAGAGGGTCATTACTAGCGTCGAGGAAACGAGCGTCGTTTATATATGAGACTGTAGATATCTTAAGCGCGCGCGCGCGCGTTCAACTTCGAGCCCCATTCGAAACGTTGACGCGCGTCTGCAAATTGGTGCGCCCGTAATGAGTTTCGTAACGAGAAAGGCGCGCGTCTCCGAGCGAAACTCCAAGAATCGAAGTTCCCGAATCGAGCGCGAGACTTTGGCTTTCCCGCGCGCATAAATCTCGGCGCGGTCGCGCGTTAATTATCGCGCTGACGCCCTCGACGCGGTCGCGCGTCCACACGGGCGCGTAGACATTCATAATTCATCGAAGGCAGCCCTCCCCGCGACACCCACCTCGTTTCTTCCTCTTTTGTTCCAGGACGGCGCGCCGCGTCGTGCGAAGCGAGACCTTGAAAACCAGAGTAAGGCCCATTGTTGCACGCTGCCGTATTTTTTCTTTCCCACGTTTGTCGCGGGCAACTTTCTCTCCGCGCGCCCGCGCGCGAATTAATCGGCGCGCGACCTCTTCTCCCGTCGGCTTTGTCGCGACGAGAGACGACAACGGCCCGCGTCGCCTCTCGGACGTCCGCCAGACGCGACTGAGTCGAAATTCGGTCGATCGAAGCGGATCGTCGCGAGGTCAATTAGCCTGGCGCTGTCGAATAGCGGAGGAGCGCGTGATAAGTGTGCTTCGTTGCGCATACAATCAGAGCGCTAATTAGCTCCGCGCTTCTTCAATGTTTCCGCGATTGTAGGTCGTCGATCAATTTTTCTCTCGCGCCCCCCCCCCCCCCCCCCCCCGCGAGCGACCGTCGCGAATAATGGATGTAGGCAGACGGAGATAGTCGTGTGCGTGGGTGCCGGTGCAGGCAAAATTTGCGTATTATCGTGCAACCGGTGGAGGAATGGGGGGGGGGGGGGAGACAGTCGTTCCTTTGTTCGTCGGAGAAGCGCCCAAGATGGACACGTGGGTGAGGAGAGCGGAATTTTATCGCGATCGCACATAGAAGCCCATCGGCCGTATACTCTTTCCCGACGATTATCCCCGGGGAATTACCGTTTAGACGTATTGAATGGTTTGCTGCCTTAAGCGGCGCACAGGTGTAAATTAGCATGCGTTTAGCGGCGGAGATGATGCTTCCTCCTCGCATCGCGCGGCCACCGCGGCCGAGTACCGACAGATCTCGCGCTGCGCATGTCAGCGCGCAAATCTGACTTTCGCATTCCCAATATCGCGCACTTTCAATTAACCGAATCCATGTACTTGAGCGCAATTTCGTATACGCTGCGCGGAACTGTTTCTCGAACGGTTTCAGCGAGTGGAAGGCTAACGTTTGAAAACGCTCACGCGAGCGTGTACGACACGCGAAATTATAATGTGATGGAATGCAAATAATAAAGAAAAATCGTTGTTTCCTTCGAAAAGAGAGGAAAAAAACAAGGAGGCTCACAAGAAAATTATAAGCGCCAGAGAATGTGGATGGTTCGTTAGCACTTCCCGTTCGCAAATCAAAGGTTTTTATAAGCAGCACGGTATACATGTTTGGAGCTCTCTCTCTCTCTCTCTCTCTCTCTCTCTCTCCTCTCTCTCTCTCTCTCCTCTCTCTCTCTCTCTCTCTCTCTCTCTCTCTCGCTACCTTTTAACAAGGTTTTATACGTCAATGCTCGCGCGAGCGAAGCGCTTGTTCGATAGGTATATGCTTCGATCTTTTTTTCGCTGATGCGGAAGCGAAGCGTCTTCTTGGGGCCTTTCATAGCAATTAAGCTATTTCCTCGCGAGAGAGTCGATCGGTTAATTGCCAGCCGTACAATCTTTTTCAATTTGACGGATAATAACGGCGCGCTACGGGAGGAAAAAAGAGGAGCGCGATTGTTTTGTAATTGTTTTTTTTTCCGCTCGTGAGAATTCTCAAAGTCACGACTTTCGAGGACGCAAATGCAACTGATTTATTCATTTGATTGCTAGCACAAAAAGTTGGTCTGCGCGCATCAAGCAACACTACGACAGACGAATAGAAAAAACGCTGAGCAATGTATCCGACAAGGTGTGGGTCGCTTATGAATTGGCTGCTGAAAGAAATTCTTTTCTTCTGGGTGGGCCGCGCCACGAAAATGAATTACAGTGCAAGTTTGCGCCGTCTTGTTGAAAAATCATTGCCCCGTTCGTGACTACGTTTTTCTTTTCTTCTCTTTGATCGGCGTGTTTTGCGTTGCGATGATAAAAGGAACTCGATCGCGGTAAAAAATACAATAATAATGATAATGATAATAAAATGGAGCAGGTCAAACCGCAGGTCGCTTCGTATTGCCGGTGTTTATTTGTCCAGCCGCATTTTCATAATATCTCCGCGCATCCGCGTCGCTCGGCAATTGGCCTCGGCAATTAACGGGGCACGCGCGACTCGCGATCAACGACGAACGTCGATTAGCACGACGAGCGCGAGCGCGGCTCGGCCTTGCCCTCTTCCCCGAGCCGCGCGTACTCGTTGCCGATGACGGAAGTCCGCGGCGCGACCGCAGCCCCGGTCGCTTCCTCGAGATGCCGAGTTCGATGAGAAAGCCGAGATTGGAGCGCCGCAGCGCCACTGGCCTATTTGTCGCGCGTCGGCGGCGCGTATGCGCGAGCATATCGTCGATTTGTATTGCTGCTGGGCTATAGTGGCCCATGGAAACGACGGAATTTGGTCGGCAAGCGGCGTCTGGCTCGTACCTCGAGCCCGACGCGCAGCTACACGAAGGGCCGTAAAATCATAGCCGCGCCGATTAAACGTTTTTTTGCAGGCCGATTTTGAAAAACGCAACAGCTTTACCTTCGCTCTGCCATTTTTCATGTCTCGTTGATTACACGTAGCGGCCCAGTGCGTACGCCTGTACCTACACGCCGCCAATCTATTTTTCCGTTGGCGATTAAATATCGTCCGACCGCTTATCTATGAGCACGCGTAAAAAGATGTTATATGGCGTCTAGACCTAATCTCGCGGCCAAACATTATTATTAGCTGGTGTTCTGTTTTACTTGTTTTTTTCTTGCTTGCTTTTCCTTCGGCAGCGGGCAACATTTACAGCCGAACGATCGTTCAATGAATCATCCGCGGCATTTTTCGCGTCACGTAAATTGAGCGTACGCGCGCGCGCGCGCGCGCGCTTGATTGACTTTACGCGGCGCGCGCGTGATGTACGAGGTCGATTAGCGTCGCGCGGTCCGCAGCAGCTTTTATCTCGCGAGCGCCGTTATGCAAAGCTTGACCCTTTTACGAGGCGCGAAAAAGTCCAACCAGCGCTAGACACTCGTGACGAGGGGCATTTAGCTTGTCAATCAGCAAATCCTGGAAGCGCGAAAATTTGCGCGCCGTGCAATTTGTCAGTGGGGAGAGCGAGAGGAGCGTGCACGGCTCGTTTACATGAAAATCGCAAGTGGGCCGCCGACATCCGTCATCCAGATTTCCATCTATACGCGCGCACCGTTATATACTCGCTTCGTCATATCTCTCGCGACTTCGAGTCTGCGACTGCATGCGCATGCAGGTGTCCCTGATTAAAACGTACCGATACATATTGCAGAAAGAAGACGAAGAAGAGGAGGAAGGCCCGTTAGTCACTTTCGGCGTGTGGCTCTCTTGATCGCGTGTGCGCGAGCCGGAGAAAGAGCCCCGCCGGGAAAAACTCGTTAGAGCTGCCTTAGCCGTACGAAATCGACTCTGACACGCGATAACCCGAGCGCGGGTCGGCACGAGGATGCCGCTCGAAGGAATGCGAGCCGCGCGGCTATTTCGCTCGCTGCCGAGACAACTCGCCTATCTCGCTCGGCGCGCGCGCCTCACTTTTTTATCAAGCTCGCACTCTGAATGTTCTCGCGGCGACGTACCTTCCCGGCAGCAGCCTAACGGTGCGAGGTTTTTTCTTGCGCTGATAATGAATTTGAAAATTTTCGAAAAAGCCGGAAAATAAAAAGAAAGAAACGACACAACGCCGCGTGGTAACTTTAACGACAAGCGAGAAAAATAATAAAGAGCAGAGTGTTTACCGGGCAGCAATGGAGATGCGCGACTTTTATGACAGCGGCTGTCTCGCGAGGCAAGTAGGTGCTGAAAAAACGTGGTCGCGAAACGAGATACTAAAAGGCGCTCCGTGCTCTCGTTCGAGGCAAGTGGAAAAAAGAAATCGCCGAAAAAAAGGAAGAGGAGAAAAAAGGCACGCGCGCGCGCGCGCGCGCACACAGCCACGGCAAAGAGGAAGGAATTCCCATCACGTTTTTCGCGAGAGTCGGTATTCCGCGGCGAGAGAAGGACGGCGCACAAAGGGGGTCACAAAGCTATCGCGCGGCCGATTTATCCTCGGGGTCATAACGCGAGGCGCGCGAGGCTAGCTCGGTCGGCGCGATGCTTTCTCCTCTCGCGGCCGGGAAAGCGCGCTCCCTCGCAGTTTACAACGCCGCAATGATCCTCGCGCGGACGCGACGAGGACGGCGACGATCGAGCGCGCCGCTGCCGTTGCCGCGAGCGAGCGGGCCCCGGAGGTGGCGGTCGGTCCACTTCCGTCCCGTCGCGACGCCCCATTGTTCGGCGCCATCGATTCGCGGCCTCTCGCGAGAGGGGCCCGGCTGCTGTCGCGCCGCCGCGGAAGACGCGCCGCGATTACCTCGGCCGACAAATTGAGAGCTCGCTGGCGCGCGGCACGAGATTGAAAAACTAATGAAATCCTGGAACAAGCTCGCCTCGGCTGCGCGCTCATCGCGGAAATTGCGCGCCGTATCGTTCATTAATTAAAGCGCCGAGAGGGATATTAATGCTTCCCCTCGGCTGCCGAGTACATTAAATCCGATTCGTCAGGCGAGCTTATGAAAGTGGCGCGCGCACGCGCGATCCGAGCCGAGTCTCGCGGCAGGCGTCGTAAATCCGAATAAATAGTATAATTCCCGGTGTAACAACGAGCCCCGCGCGCGCTCGATCGCTCGCGACGACGCGCAGCGCGAGCCGGGGATCGAACGACCGCGCGCGGTAGCCTCTTAAAGGAGAGCGCACGAGTATAAATTTCACTGCGAGCCTGGCGAGCGAGCGAGCTAACGATCCCTCTTTTGCTTTTATCGCGCCAATTATATCATCGGCGCGCGAGTGTGCAACAGCTGTCGTCCTTCGCTGCTCCAGTTTCTCCCTCGAGCGCGCGAGCGACATCTTCCTCTCCGCTGCGGCGAGCTGCTTTCGATCGGGCGCGGCCCCCTCGCGCTCCGCGTAATATTCACGAGGAGACTCGGTCGCGCTGCAATAATCGCGCCGAGAGCACCAATCTCGCGCGACTGCGCCAAAGAAATAGCTTCCGGTCATCAGGCGCCAGCGGCCTAGAAATAAAAACAGAGAGCGAGAGAGAGAGAGAGAGGATCGGCTGCAAGCACAGCAGCGGCGGTAGCAGCAGCAGCGCGCACCTCATTACGAGTTGAAGCCCGGCACCGGCGCGCCTTACGCGCTTAAAACTGCAGCGCGCTCGGAGTTCGAAACGCCGCGCGCTTTTAAAGACGGACTCGGTTGCCGGACTACTCGCCGCGCGATAATGACTTTTATAGGCGGCGCGCAAGGGGGTAATTCCAGGCTGTGCTCGCGCTGCAATTTTCTCGCCTTCTTCGCAACGAGCATTAGCGCAGCGCCCTTAGACGCGGCAGCGGCTAATTTGTCCCTTTCGATCCAAGTCCCGCAAGATTACCTCGCGGGAAAAATGCGAGCGCGAATCTCTTAATGCAGGCGATAAAAAGCGCGCGTAGCGTGAGAGTGGGGGGGGGGGGGGGCAATCGAAGCGACTGGCTCGGCCGATTCCCAAAGAGCTCGTCTCCATCATCCGCTATCCCTTCACGCTCCACCGATCGAGGCGACTCCCCGCCAAGCGCTCTCCTCGTCAAATTGAAAGCCTTAAGAGATAGAAGAAAGACACACCCTCTCCTCGCTCGTGTAATCGTTCTCGAGAACAAGAGAATGCAATCGCGCGCGAGAAGCAAGAAGGGGAAGGTCTCTTACCTCGCTGGCGCTGGTGTAATTGGTAGTGAGTTTGATTTGCGGTCGGATCTTGCCGGTCGACTCGCGGGTCTCCTTGGCGGAAGTGGTCGAGGGCGTGCTCGCCGCCGTCGTGCTGAACCTCGTGGTGCTCTTGACTCGCGGCTCGATCGACACTGCCGGCGGCGGCGTGCTCGACGCCAGACTCGCCGTCGACGAGCTCAGACTCGGCGTGGTCGCCGACGACGTCGCGTTCGCCGCCGCCGCCGCCGCCACCGCCGCTCCTGCCGCTGCAGACGACGACGACGGCGACGAGCCCAGCGACTTGGTCGTCGAGGTCGACGGTGACGAGGCCGTGGTCGTGCCTGCGCTGCCGGCGCTCGTCGCCGACTTCTTGGTGGTCAAGCTCGTGGTGCTGCTACTGCTGCTGCTGCTGCTGCTGCTGCTGCTGCCGCCGCCGCCGCCGCCGCCGCCGCCGCCAACGACGACTCCTTGGCTCGGCGACGCGGCCGACGAGGACGTGACTGCAGCCGAGCAATAGCAGCCGAGGAGCAGCAGGACCAGCAGCGGGGAGCGCGACATGCCGAGAGCCGTTCCGCCTCTCAGCGTTTCGCTACCTGCCAACACGCAAATAAAGATCGCACACTGCGATTACATATCTCAAGGAGCGTGCAAGCGCTGTGCATGTCAAACGACGACCCCCTTTTATTTGCTGCCAAACGTCTGGTCGTGCGCTACTCTCTCGCGTCGACGTTGTGTTTCGCACGACGTTCACGATTCCAGCGGAATAGCGAAGCAGCGGGCGCCTCCGCTTTTGTCTTCTCGCGCGCTCCGAGAAAGGAACACGCCGTTGATTTGGCGTCGACTCGAGACGTGGAGCGTCTCGCCATCAAGGCAAACGTCGACTCTTCGCCAAATATCCTCGAGCGCGAGTGTGAGAATGAAAAAATTGAGAAAGAGAAAGAGAGAGAGAGAGAGAACGCACGGCGGAAGGTGACGACTAGTCGTGTAAGCGCGATCCGTGAAACGAGAGTAACAGAGACACTACGCCAGATAGACGTACTTGCAACGAATGCGTGGCACTTGACAAACGGTTCTTTTCACGGAAGACACGCGTATTGCCGACGACGATGAAGATGAATTTCTCGTGCGAGCGAAGCGACATATTCATTTCATCGTTGGCCTCTGATCTTTGGCCGCCAGCGGCGCGCGTGATACGGATAGGATAATGGGAAGGAGGGAGGACTGTCTTTTCGTTCCGCCGTCGAGCGAATCGCGCGCAGAAGAACGTTTGGCGTAAGAAGACGCAACGAGATCACCGGCGATAATCGAATAATTCGACACGTCGCTGGATCGATTGGCGATCGCAGATCGAGGGGAACAAATTCGAGAGCGAGGCGTCGTTAACGGCACGCGCAGAGCAGGGGTTCTAGCGTACCAACAAGATCAGCATGTTAGTAGCACGAGATCCCGTATGCGCGCGTAAAGTGCCGCCTCATTATTTATTTTTTTTTCTTTCTCGCCGCGCACACCGAATTTCGTAACCCGTGGGGCTCGCGAACGCCGATAGCGAGAGCGCGCCGCGCTCGTTCCCATTGAACTTCGCGGCTATCGAGATGCATGCGCGCGCTGGATGCGCCGTTTTAAGGTTTAGGTCAAGAGTGTTTACTCGAGAGAGTTTTCTTTTCGAGACGAAGCGCGCGCACTCGAGCCGAGCTCTGGAGGCGCTCGAGAAGAAGAAACGAAATCGATCGATATAAACGCGCGAACGAAAGTCCATTTTCTACTATTCCCGATTCGCGAGCACAGTTACGAAGGTTCAGAGTTCGGCGCGCGGAGATCGTGATGTACGACAAACTACCGTGGAAGCCAACAACTTCTCTCTCTCTCTCTTTCTCTCTGAGATATCGCCCGGCGCGCGCATAATCCGCCTGTATCGCGTGAATTAGCCACGCGAAGCTGATGATCCCTGGTGGCACACGAGCGTCATTATCCTGTCGGGCAGCGAGCCGCAAGCAGTGGTCGCGCGCGAGTTTGTAGGTCAGCAGCGTCCGATCCCGCTCGCGTCAGGCGCAGCCGCGCATCATCCTCTCGCGTGCGTGTCGCGCGCGACGACGTTCGATACGCGGCACCGCCGCCTCGCTGATCCTTGGCCATCCTGCGACCGCCCACGCGAGGTACCGTTTGGCGCGCGCTGGCCGCGTTACGTCACACGGCTCCGGCGCGCTCTCCTTCCGCAGGCTGGTTTTTCGTAGGCCGAGGCCGCAAGCGCGATGCAAATCGAGGATGAGGCGAGGTGGCTGCTCGCGACCCCGTTCTCGCGCCGGAGAAAATCTCTGCCGCGGACGCTATCCGGTTGCCGCGATATCGAGGCCCTCGCCTCCTCTCGCCGAGCCGCCTCGTTAATAGTCACGCGACCGCGAGCTCTGGCTGCGGATTCCGCGCGTGCGCCGCGCGATGATTAATCGGGACGAGGCTGCGTGCTCGAGCAACTGTGTGCGCGGCACGCGTCGCGACTGCGCGCCGACTGCGAGCCTGGATGGACAATTCGAGCGCGGGCTGAGAGCCGTCGATGAAAGTTGTCGAGGACTCTTGGCTAGACGAAAAGAAGAAAAGCACTCGGGAAGACGCTGCGCGCGCGAGGAGGAGACCTAAATCCGAAGCGGAGCGTCGTGTCTTTGCGGATGCCTGGGATGCGGATTATCGGACATCTCCCTCTCTCTCGCTCTCTCGACGGCCTGCTTTTCACGGTGTCGCTGGCGACTTTCGGCGTACGGATCGCTAACGGGTCGTCGAGCGCCCCCGTGGAAATGACACATTGCCCGCGCGCCCGAAAAGAACAATGCGAACGTCCGCGAATTAATTGCCCGTAGTGGTAGAGCCCTTAACGGGACACCAAAGACCATTCGGCCTTTCGGACGAGATCGAGACGATATAATACACGTGACGCTGGCTGCTCGCTGCGCATGTCACTTGCCCGAGCTCGCCATTTATCTCTCTTTCTCTCTCTCTCTCTCTCTCTTTCCCTCCCCATGGCCGCATAAAAATCAATCCTCTGTGTCTGGCTTTTTATCTCCCAGCCATGCTAACCTGGCTAATTATCGGCTCGGTTTCTTTTGTTGAAACCGCAAGTCCTTCTCTTTTTTTGCGATCGGGCCTCCGATACACTTTGCCGTGGCGAAAAAAAAATTAATACGGTCAGAAGGGAAAATGGGTTGCGAGAGAGATTACAATGCGCAACTTTTTTCCGCCTCGAGCTTGTTCTTCTTTTTTCGAGAGAGAGATAAAGAGAGATGAAAGGTCCCTTTGTTAAGCTTTTGAATGGGCCGATTTAGGATATTGCTATCTGCTGGTAGATGACTCTAAGCCGTGCGCTTGATAAAAGTTTATCTTATATCCCTTTGTTGCGCTGAATTTTCCATGCGGAATAGTCATCGAGTTCAGTCGCCGAACGAAAGTCACCGAGAAAAGGAGACGCGCGGGCGAAGCCTCGGCTACATTGTTTACACCTCTGCCTCGGCGCGGCCATCTCGCCGTCTGCGCACCGGCAGCCGACGATGAGAAAGGGAGAAACGTCGGCTCGGTAGCCACTATAACAGCCCATATGGGCGGCGCTCATGACGCGTATCGCGTTACCGCTCATTAGCTCGTACGTCATTAAACGGCGCGTGTGCGCGCAGCGCGCTCAAACGCATCAATGAGGTTATCGTATCGATGAGGTTTTACAGCGTACCGTCGAGCCTCGCGTCGTCGTGATTTTCCGCGAGCCGCGGGAAACGAATCGCTCCGCGACGTCCCCCGTGACGAGCAATCAGTCGCCGGGAGAGTGAACTTTGGAGGAGGAACGGCGCGAAGGCGCGTAACGCATCTCGCGCCGGCAATTAAGCAATACAATTATCCGCGAGTCAAATAAATCTCTCGCGGTCAGTCGCGAGTCCGGTGCACGAGCGGAGAATGCTGCTTTAGCATGCAGATATTTTAATGAAACAACGGCGGCGGCCGCGGGAAAACTCTGCTCCGCCTCGGATTAGCATAATCGGGCAAAAAGGCCTTTGGCCGCCGGGGCGCGCGAGCACTTTATTAGCGGATGCCCGTAAAGCGCGAAATTAGATCGAGACAATTAATTTGGCGCAGGAAGCGCCGCGCGGAGACAAATGGGAAATCTCTCGGCCGGGTGCCGTAAACGCCGAGTGATTTACAGCTCGGCAGCGTGCAGCTTGGCTTTTTTCCCCTCCTAAAGCGGCCCTCGCATCTCGATCGTCGTCACACTTCATTCGTCACCGGGGAGCCGCGCCGCGCCGCTTTTTGTCTCTCGCGAGGACGAGACGGATCTCCGTGGTCGCTTGGCCTGCTCGGCGCGACTTTTCGCGTGTGCGTGCGCGCGCGCCCGCGCGCCCGCGAGGCACTGTCTCGCCGCGGGCAACAACAAATTGTAGGCACTCTTCCGCGGAATGTTTATTATCCGCCGGATCGTAATTGTAAGGGGAAACAGAAGCGCGTCCGCATCGATAGTTCCGGCATGCGAGCGGCAATCTAATACGGATATTTCGTTTTTCCGAGGCTTTTCCCGTCGGGCGCCTTCGAATATCGCCGAACGGCGACGCCGACGGCCGGTCCGTCCGAGTGGACGCACGCGAGCGAGCGAAAAGCCCTAGATTGTTTGGTTCGCTGCAAACTACTGTTAGGATGACGTTATATGAAGAATCGCGTGCGCAGGCGCGGGAGAAGGCGAGGGAAGGGCAAATTGAATATATTATCTCGAGTGCTTATGGCATGCGTAAAGAGTGTGCGTGGAGCGCGCTCTCTCAGAAAAATCCCCTTGTCCTATTTACCATCTTGTAAAGGCCTAATCAGATGGGGATAACGTTCTCACAGCCGGCGCTCGCCTCTAACTGGCATTACAATTTTTAATTGTTCGCGCGCCTGCTCTATCTCCGCTCCAACTTGGCGCAGCGAGATAACCGCTTCTCTGCATTAATCCAATTAAAAGGAAGAGGGGAAAAAATCGCTGCTCGAGACAAGTCCGATCTCGGCGTTTTGGCGAGCGGGAAGTGCAGAGCGCCGTTCGCTCGGCTCTGGCAAAAACTCCGACCGCGAACAACGAAGAGCGAAGTTTCGAGCGGAGCTTGCGACGAAAAAATCCTGCTTCAGCCGAGTTATCAGCCCGCTGGCAAAAAAGAATGCCGGCAGCGCGCGAGCGTTTTTCAGATCCATACGTCGTGTAACGAGGGAGCGAGTCTTGGTCGTAACTCCGGCGGGCGAGAACCGTAATGTAAATTGACCAGAAATTAAGAAAGCGCTGAAAAATCGAGAGCCCGCCGCGCCCATTAAAACGGTATCGTCGGTCTCGCCAAAAAGGAGAAAAGGCAAAAAACCAGACGAATAACGACGACAACGATAAATAAAGAATTAACCTGCATGAAACCACAGAAACGACCTTGAGCGTTGCAGTGCTGCGCGGGATAGGAGCGTAAGCACACTTGTTCGGCGACGAGAGAAAAAAACCAACGAAACTGAAAACACAAACCGAACACAACTGGCGCTCGAGTACGACTGGTGCTCGGAGCCGAGATGGGCCCCGCTACTATGAAGCAGCGGCCCCGCTAGTCCCACTTTGACTCCCGCGAGTCGCTAGCCAAAGCGCACCAGCCACTAGCCAATCCCCGCCGCATGCGCTTGCCACCGAGACTCCTCGTATATATACAACCGTTGCGGGCAACGCGCGCCTCGCTCGCTCGCTCGCTCGCTCTCCTCGTCGCTCCTCCGAGGCGGCGGAGAGCTTTCGGTGCTCGCGCGGCTTTTTGCCAGCGCCTGCTTTCCGCGAAAAGCCTCGCCGGGGGGAAAAAAAAAAACGAGAATCCTCGAGATTTTCCAATATTCGCGATCGATTGCCGTGGACGGCGGTAGCGGCGGCAAAAAAAAGGCCGGCCGCGCTCCGGCGGAGCGGCAGAACGACTCAGTCCGCCCCCTCGGACAGCGTCGAGTTTACACAAAGCAGCAGCGCTGCGCCGGCATTCCCCGCGCGAGGGTTTAACGTATCATCAGCCGAGCATTAAAGGAGAGCGGCGTTCTTACCGGGAGCGCAGCCTCCCGTTGCCGTCGTTGTTTTTTCTGCCGGCCGTTCTCGGGAGGCGGCGGTGGGGGAGAGGGGGGGGGGGGCGTCAGGGAAGCGAGGCGGCCGATCGGCGCGGGCGGTTTTGGTCGCGCGCGCGCCCAGGCCGACGATCCGCGCGGCGTCGCGGCTCCCGAGGAGCAGCAGGCGCTGACTGCGTCGTTTGCCAACGCGAGGCGACGCCGCTAATGACAGGAGGCCCGGCTCGCGGGCGTCTCTTCGTTTTCGCGCCGCGAGACCGCGAGGCCGCTCGGTCCGCCCTTTCGACGGCCCTCGAAGCGCAATCAGCGCTGCGATCGATCATCGCCGCGCTCCAGCCGACTGAAAGGCTTTCTTTGCTCGAGCAGCTGGTCGACGACATTGAGAAGCCTTTTTTCGGCGACGCCCGGCTTTTCACCGACAATGCCTTTCTCGGAGCTGCGCCACGCAACCAATCCATTAATTTGAGGAAATGTGATTTTCATACGACAAGCGTGAGGCCTTTGAGGAAGAAAATAAAGGCCCGTTTGCTGCGAGTGGAATACAAACCGGAGTTGCTTTATTCTCTTTGACAAGGCCGTAAATATTTCCCACGTTTGGAAAATGGAAACTCGTGCGGAAGAAAATGCCGTTTGAGGATGGGAAGGTGGCTCGCGACGCTAGTAATAATAGTCCGGGAAGTCGATTGACCGCGAGAGTGCGATATTAAGATTCCTAGCGACGAGTTAACACCTCGGGCACTATGTGTAAAAAGAAGTATCACCGCGAGTAACGGCTTTCGCGATAAAACTATATATTACGCTATGGTTATAAAAGTAATATGTGGTCCACTTTGTAAAACTGGCGGCGCGATGATCGTCTAGACGCGCGTCGCGCTAATCGATCGGGACGCGCGCCGCTCGCTTTCCCGTTCTCGCGGGGCGACAGCCTGCGCGCGGATCCGTTCAATATTTATTAGGATCTAATGGGGCAACGAGCGCGGGAGATACTCCTCGGCCTCGATTCCTCCCACGCGGCCCCGCGGACCCAACGCAAAAATCGCGCTTTTGCTCGCTTTATTCGCCGGTCGCTAACTGTTCATCCGCGCAGGCGGCGACGAGCGCCGTCGGCTCAATGAGAGCGAGACCGCTGAATTTTCGCAGCTCGACGGAACGTTCTCACGTGCGCCCCGTGCTCACCCAGCGGAAAACCATCGCGAAATTTCTCGGCGCCGCCGCGCCTTCACCCGGGCAGCCGGCTGCCTTTCATCGACGCCCCATTGATTGACAGCTATATTGCCGCGAGCCTTGTTTGCCTGAATGTTTCATGCGGCGCGCTATCCCGGAGCGATTCAGCGATTCAGATTCGAAACGAAAAAAAAAAAGAACGAGAAAAAAAAATGAGCTTTGTCGGCCGCCGGGGCTTTTCGCGGGGAATGCGCGCAGCGAGCCTCATCTCTCTTGACATTTAGCGCGCATTCTTGGCTTTTCGAACGCGTCCACGCTCGCCGCGCCGCTTGACCGATTCTCGCGCTCCTTCGTTTGGGAACGGCAACGCGTTGCATTCCGTTTTTTCCCTTTCGCCGCAACCGCCGTCTTCGCGGCTAAATAGAGCTGCGAACGCGGAGTGATTATTAAAAGCCTATTCCAAATCGAACGAAAGAACAAGTAGACATCCGCAAGAGCATCTTTTAAACACTGTTGCAATTTATTCACTCGACCGATGTATCATTTTCCAAACTATACACGTTATCTGCTCCCCGCATGCAGCGTTACAGACATTCCAAAGGCAAACCGTAGTGCACTCGTTAAAAAAGACCAGCAAAGAAACGAGGGGGAAAAAGGAGAGAGCGAGAGAGAGAGAGAGCAGCGCCTGTACGTCCCGCATCGATTGCGCAACCGAGGAAATTTATACAGCGAGTTTACGATCATCCGCCGGCGACATTTTCACGGAAGAAGCAGCGGCCACGGCAGATCCGCGAGAGATAGTGAGCTTTCAATCGTCGCTCAGTGTTAATTAAGAGGCCGTTTCTCTCTCTCTCTCTCTCTCTCTCTCTCTATAACCTCCCGTTCTTTGGATCAACGACTGCGACTACTAAAAAAGAAGGCAGAAAAAAAATTGTGTATATATAGACATATAAGAAACCGCTGCCGGGACTCTTTGATGCAAAGCTTCTTCTTCCCCTCGGCATTGCGCTTTGCTGATTAGACGACTAAAGCCGACCGCGAACCTCGTAATTGCCACGTAGTTCGATTCAATTTAGCTCACTGCTGGCTCGCTCACAAAGCCCGCTTGACAAAAAGCCAAAGAGAGCTGTTCGTTAAAGGCCGCGAGGCGGATTAAATAATAATTATAACGGCGCGCGCCTCCATTGTATCGGCGAGCTCTGCCGCGCGGCGACGATCGACAATCGATCAGCTCGCATTGTTCGACGCTAACGCGCCCTATAACTGTTTGTGCGCTTTTGCCAAACAAATTGCGCGAGCGCGCGCCTTCGTTACGGGTAAGCCGCGAGCCGATGCTGTTGTTCTTCGAAATTGGGATGCGACGATGCTAACGAGCGGCAGCGATCGCTAAGCGCCAGCGATTTCTCGAAATGAGAAACGCCGCTTCTGCGGATCGAGAGCACGGTGGCGGCGGCGGCGAACGGGCACGAAAAGGACGAAATAGGCTCGCCCCCCATCCGTCGAAAGCCGCAAAGCGCACGCGCGACGCGACAATCCTAACTCAATCAAACGGCACTCCGTAACCAACAGTTATCCCCCTGGAGAGCGAGAGAGTCGTCGGATTCTCGAATTTTTCCAATGGCATTATCTAATTCCTCGGCGATCGGCAATTAAACTTCTCTCTGTCCGGCATTTTTCGGGTAAACACTTTCGTGCGCTGCGCCAACGGCTAACAAGTTCAGCGGGTACCGTTAGGGCTGCACGACCGAAAGAGCGAGTCAGCCGGAGATGTTATTAAGGGGGATTCGCGGCAAAGTAATTGGAAACGAGACTCTCCGCTGGCAAAGGTCTTAACGAGAGGATTAGGCTTTTTACCTCGCGATTTTAACGAACGAGCGGAAAAACAAAGAAGCGAGCCAAACGAACGTGAATTATTCAATCGGTCGACGGGGAGTCGGCTTCACTTTCGCGAAAAAATGCGCGACAAGGAAACGAGCCTCTTTCCGGCTCTGACACACAATTGACTTTCACCCGCGAGCGCTGTTTTGTGTACGACGCGCGCTCGCCGCGTGTGTGGCCTTAATATCTATTTTCCACGCGCGCGCGGTCCTTTCTACGGAGACGCACGCGGCGTCAGCGACCGCCGCAGCTGTACAAGCCACCTCGTTACTTTCCGATTAATCGTCGTGTATGATGATGATGATGATCTATTGGACTTTCTACGTCCGTGTTTTCCCTCCCCTTTTCGCTAAATTGATGTGGACGGAGTGCGCGACTCGCCGAGCGGAGTTTTCCCCAATCAGCCGTGTTTTTCGTTCGTTCGTTCGTTCGTTCGTTCGTTCGTTCGTTCGTTCGTTCGTTCGTTCGTTCGAGAGAAACAGAGGAAAAAGAGCGAGATGATACGAAGCCTCGTTTATAATGACGATTTAATTTCTCGGCGGAGGACAACCACACGTGCGCGCACGCACACCGAGAGTAATTGCGCAGCCCCCAAAGAAAAACGACGCGAACTCTCAATTAGCCCATCGCTCGGCCCTTTTCGCAGCCAGCGGCGGCGCGCAGCGAGGTCAAGATCGCAAACGGAAAAGTACACACGTACGTGCATGCGCGATAGACAGGCCGTGCTTTTGCGTGGGCGCGCGCGCTTGAAAATTACAATTCCCTGTTGGCGTGCTCTCTCTCTCTCTCTCTCTCTCTCTCTCGCGCGCGCGCGCGCGCGCGCGCGGAGGTCAGCGGTGCTCTCCAACGTGAAATTTATTGCACTCGGAATCTACCGTCACGATCCCCCCGTGTCACGTGTGCCACTGCCGGTCACGAGAGAGCGCATGCCAAAAGGAAAGAATAACAAACTCCTCTGCCGTTTGTCCGTTCCGTTGTTGAATTCGCGAACGGCGTCACTTTCGCGAGAGAGCCAGAGAGACGGGGACGCGCTCTCGCGGAGGTTCGTTGACCGCGAATCGATCCCTAATCGCCGCGTACACGCCGAAAGGGAAGTGCGCGTTTATTTATAGCCTTCGAAAATTGACAGGTTGCGCGCGCTCGGCGCGAGTCCTCTCGATTCGCACTGGAGGCAGGATGAGGGTACCTCTTGATTGCACGTCGCGGGCACGGCGCGGCGCGCGTTCGCACGGCAATGACACGCTCGCCGCCTGGCTCTCAAGCGCCGTACTTTGCGCGCGCGTAATCGCGTGATCGACTCCGCGAGCCTGCCCGAGACGCGCGCGCGCGCGCGCTCGCACGATATAGTTGTTATCCGCGCAACAGGTTCTGTC